GAAAGGGGTGGGGTGATGGAAAGCGGGGAGAATGGGGTGGGCTGATGGAAAGCGGGAGAATGGGGCGGGGTGATGGAAGGAGGGAGAATGGGGCGGGGTGATGGAAAGCGGGAGTATGGGGCGGGGTGATGGAAAGCGGGAGAATGGGGCGGGGAGATGGAAAGCAGGAGAAAGGGGAGGGGTGATGGAAAGCGGGAGAATGGGGCGGGCTGATTGAAAGCGGGAGAATGGGGCGGGGTGATGGAAGGAGGGAGAATGGGGCGGGGTGATGAAGGAGAGAGAAGCGGGCGGGGTGATGGAAAGTGGGAAAATGTGGCGGGGTGATGGAAAGCAGGAGAATGGGGTGGGGTTATGGGAAGCGGGAGAATGGGGCGGGGTGATGGAAAGCGGGAGAATGGGGCGGGGTGATGGAATGAGGGAGAATGGGGCGGGGTGATGGAAGGAGGGAGAATGGGGCGGGGTGATGGAAAGCAGGAGAATGGGGCGGGGTGATGGAAGGAGGGAGAATGGGGCGGGGTGATGGAAAGCGGGAGAATGGGGCGGCGTGATGGAAAGCGGGAGAATGGGACGGGGTGATGGAAAGCGAGAGAATGGGGCGAGATGATGGAAGGAGGGAAAATGGGGAGGGGTGATGGAAAGCGGGGGAATGGGGCGAGATGATGGGAAGCGGAAGAATGGGGCGAGGTGATGGAAAGCGGGAGAATGGGGCGGGGTTATAGAAAGCGGGAGAATGGGGCGGGGAGATGGAAAGCAGGAGAAAGGGGAGGGGTGATGGAAAGCGGGAGAATGGGGCGGGCTGATGGAAAGCGGGAGAATGGGGCGGGGTGATGGAAGGAGGGAGAATGGGGCGGGTTGATGGAAGGAGAGAGAAGGAGGCGGGATGATGGAAAGTGGGAGAATGTGGCGGGGTGATGGAAAGCGGGAGAATGGGGTGGGGTTATGGGAAGCGAGAGAATGAGGCGGGGTGATGGAAAGCGAGAGAATGGGGCGGGGTGATGGAAGGAGGGAGAATGGGGCGGGATGATGGAAAGCGGGAGAATGGGGCGGGGTGATGGAAAGCGAGAGAATGGGGCGGGGTGATGGAAGGAGGGAGAATGGGGAGGGGTGATGGAAAGCGAGGGAATGGGGCGGGATGATGGGAAGCGGAAGAATGGGGCGGGGTGATGGAAGGAGGGAGAATGGGGCGGGATGATGGAAAGCGGGAGAATGGGGCGGGGTGATGGAAAGCGGGAGAATGGGGCGGGGTGATGGAAGGAGAGAGAATGGGGCGGGGTGATGGAAGGAGGGAGAATGGGGCGGGATGATGGAAGGAGGGATAATGGGGCGGAGTGATGGAAAGCGGGAAAATGGGGCGGGGTGATGGAAAGCGGGAGAATGGGGCGGGGTGATGGAAAGCGAGAGAATGGGGCGGGGTGATGGAAGGAGGGAGAATGGGGAGGGGTGATGGAAAGCGGGGGAATGGGGCGGGATGATGGGAAGCGGAAGAATGGGGCGGGGTGATGGAAGGAGGGAGAATGGGGCGGGATGATGGAAAGCGGGAGAATGGGGCGGGGTGATGGAAAGCGGGAGAATGGGGTGGGGTGATGGAAGGAGGGAGAATGGGGCGGGGTGATGGAAAGCGGGAGAATGGGGCGGGGTGATGGAAAGCGGGAGAATGGGGCGGGGTGATGGAAATCGGGAGAATGGGGCGGGGTGATGGAAAGCGGGAGAATGGGGTGGAGTGATGGAAGGAGGGAGAATGGGGCGGGGTGATAGCTAGCGGGAGAATGTGGCGGGGTGATGGAAAGCGGGAGAATGGTGTGGGGTTATGGGAAGCGGGAGAATGGGGCGGGGTGATGGAAAGCGGGAGAATGGAGCGGGGTGATGGAAGGAGGGAGAATGGGGCGGGGTGATGGAAGGAGGGAGAATGGGGCGGGGTGATGGAAAGCGGGAGAATGGGGCGGGGTGATGGAAGGAGGGAGAATGGGGCGAGGTGATGGAAGGAGGGAGAATGGGGTGGGGTGATGGAAAGCGGGAGAATGGGGCGGGGTGATGGAAAGCGGGAGAATGGGGCGGGGTGATGGAAAGCGAGAGAATGGGGCGGGGTGATGGAAGGAGGGAGAATGGGGAGGGGTGATGGAAAGCGGGGGAATGGGGTGAGATGATGGGAAGCGGAAGAATGGGGCAGGGTGATGGAAAGCGGGAGAATGGGGCGGGATGATGGAAAGCGGGAGAATGGGGCGGGGTGATGGAAATCGGGAGAATGGGGCGGGGTGATGGAAAGCGGGAGAATGGCTCGGGGTGATGGAAGGAGGGAGAATGGGGCGGGATGATAGCTAGCGGGAGAATGTGGCGGGGTGATGGAAAGCGGGAGAATGGTGTGGGGTTATGGGAAGCGGGAGAATGGGGCGGGGTGATGGAAAGCGGGAGAATGGGGCGGGGTGATGGAAGGAGGGAGAATGGGGCGGGGTGATGGAAGGAGGGAGAATGGGGCGGGATGATGGAAAGCGGGAGAATGGGCCGGGGTGATGGAAGGAGGGAGAATGGGGCGGGGTGATGGAAAGCGGGAGAATGGGGCGGGGTGATGGAAAGCGGGAGAATGGGGCGGGGTGATGGAAAGCGGGAGAATGGGGCGGGGTGATGGAAAGCGGGAGAATGGGGCGGGGTGATGGAAGGAGGGAGAATGGGGCGGGGTGATGGAAGGAGAGAGAAGGGGGCGGGGTGATGGAAAGTGGGAAAATGTGGCGGGGTGATGGAAAGCGGGAGAATGGGGTGGGGTTATGGGAAGCGGGAGAATGGGGCGGGGTGATGGAAAGCGGGAGAATGGGGCGGGGTGATGGAATGAGGGAGAATGGGGCGGGGTGATGGAAGGAGGGAGAATGGGGCGGGGTGATGGAAAGCGGGAGAATGGGGCGGGGTGATGGAAGGAGGGAGAATGGGGCGGGGTGATGGAAAGCGGGAGAATGGGGCGGCGTGATGGAAAGCGGGAGAATGGGACGGGGTGATGGAAAGCGAGAGAATGGGGCGGGGTGATGGAAGGAGGGAGAATGGGGAGGGGTGATGGAAAGTGGGGGAATGGGGCGAGATGATGGGAAGCGGAAGAATGGGGCGGGGTGATGGAAAGCGGGAGAATGGGGCGGGGTGATGGAAAGCGGGAGAATGGGGCGGGGAGATGGAAAGCAGGAGAAAGGGGAGGGGTGATGGAAAGCGGGAGAATGGGGCGGGCTGATGGAAAGCGGGAGAATGGGGCGGGTTGATGGAAGGAGGGAGAATGGGGCGGGGTGATGGAAGGAGAGAGAAGGGGGCGGGGTGATGGAAAGTGGGAGAATGTGGCGGGGTGATGGAAAGCGGGAGAATGGGGTGGGGTTATGGGAAGCGGGAGAATGAGGCGGGGTGATGGAAAGCGAGAGAATGGGGCGGGGTGATGGAAGGAGGGAGAATGGGGCGGGATGATGGAAGGTGGGATAATGGGGCGGAGTGATGGAAAGCGGGAAAATGGGGCGGGGTGATGGAAAGCGGGAGAATGGGGCGGGGTGATGGAAAGCGAGAGAAAGGGGCGGGGTGATGGAAGGAGGGAGAATGGGGAGGGGTGATGGAAAGCGGTGGAATGGGGCGGGATGATGGGAAGCGGAAGAATGGGGCGGGGTGATGGAAGGAGGGAGAATGGGGCGGGATGATGGAAAGCGGGAGAATGGGGCGGGGTGATGGAAAGCGGGAGAATGGGGCGGGATGATGGAAAGCGGGAGAATGGGGCGGGGTGATGGAAATCGGGAGAATGGGGCGGGGTGATGGAAAGCGGAAGAATGGGGCGGGGTGATGGAAGGAGGGAGAATGGGGCGGGGTGATAGCTAGCGGGAGAATGTGGCGGGGTGATGGAAAGCGGGAGAATGGTGTGGGGTTATGGGAAGCGGGAGAATGGGGCGGGGTGATGGAAAGCGGGAGAATGGGGCGGGGTGATGGAAGGAGGGAGAATGGGGCGGGGTGATGGAAAGCGGGAGAATGGGGCGGGGTGATGGAAAGCGGGAGAATGGGGCGGGGTGATGGAAATCGGGAGAATGGGGCGGGGTGATGGAAAGCGGGAGAATGGGGTGGGGTGATGGAAGGAGGGAGAATGGGGCGGGGTGATAGCTAGCGGGAGAATGTGGCGGGGTGATGGAAAGCGGGAGAATGGTGTGGGGTTATGGGAAGCGGGAGAATGGGGCGGGGTGATGGAAAGCGGGAGAATGGAGCGGGGTGATGGAAGGAGGGAGAATGGGGCGGGGTGATGGAAGGATGGAGGATGGGGCGGGGTGATGGAAAGCGGGAGAATGGGGCGGGGTGATGGAAGGAGGGAGAATGGGGCGAGGTGATGGAAGGAGGGAGAATGGGGTGGGGTGATGGAAAGCGGGAGAATGGGGCGGGGTGATGGAAAGCGGGAGAATGGGGCGGGGTGATGGAAAGCGAGAGAATGGGGCGGGGTGATAGAAGGAGGGAGAATGGGGAGGGGTGATGGAAAGCGGGGGAATGGGGTGAGATGATGGGAAGCGGAAGAATGGGGCAGGGTGATGGAAAGCGGGAGAATGGGGCGGGGAGATGGAAAGCGGGAGAAAGGGGAGAAGTGATGGAAAGCGGGAGAATGGGGCGGGCTGATGGAAAGCGGGAGAATGGGGCGGGGTGATGGAAGGAGGGAGAATGGGGCGGGGTGATGGAAGGAGAGAGAAGGGGGCGGGGTGATGGAAAGTGGGAGAATGTGGCGGGGTGATGGAAAGCGGGAGAATGGGGTGGGGTTATGGGAAGCGGGAGAATGAGGCGGGGTGATGGAAAGCGGGAGAATGGGGCGGGGTGATGGAAGGAGGGAGAATGGGGCGGGGTGATGGAAGGAGGGATAATAGGGCGGAGTGATGGAAAGCGGGAAAATGGGGCGGGGTGATGGAAAGCGGGAGAATGGGGCGGGGTGATGGAAAGCGAGAGAATGGGGCAGGGTGATGGAAGGAGGGAGAATGGGGCGGGGTGATGGAAGGAGGGATAATGGGGCGGAGTGATGGAAAGCGGGAAAATGGGGCGAGGTGATGGAAGACGGGAGAATGGGGCGGGGTGATGGAAAGCGAGAGAATGGGGCGGGGTGATGGAAGGAGGGAGAATGGGGAGGGGTGATGGAAAGCGGGGGAATGGGGCGAGATGATGGGAAGCGGAAGAATGGGGCGGGGTGATGGAAGGAGGGAGAATGGGGCAGGATGATGGAAAGCGGGAGAATGGGGCGGGGTGATGGAAAGCGGGAGAATGGGGCGGGGTGATGGAAAGCGGGAGAATGGGGCGGGGTGATGGAAATCGGGAAAATGGGGCGGGGTGATGGAAAGCGGGAGAATGGGGCGGGGTGATGGAAGGAGGGAGAATGGGGCGGGGTGATAGAAAGCGGGAGAATGTGGCGGGGTGATGGAAAGCGGGAGAATGGGGTGGGGTTATGGGAAGCGGGAGAATGGGGCGGGGTGATGGAAAGCGGGAGAATGGGGCGGGATGATGGAAGGAGGGAGAATGGGGCGGGGTGATGGAAAGCGGGAGAATGGGGCGGGGTGATGGAAAGCGGGAGAATTGGGCGGGGTGATGGAAAGCGGGAGAATGGGGCGGGGTGATGGAAAGCGGGAGAATGGGGCGGGGTGATGGAAAGCGGGAGAATGGGGCGGGGTGATGGAAAGCGGGAGAATGGGGCGGGGTGATGGAAGGAGGGAGAATGGGGCGGGGTGATGGAAAGCGGAAGATTGGGGCAGGGTGATGGAAAGCGGGAGAATGGGGCGGGGTGATGGAAAGCGGGAGAATTAGGCGGGGTGATGGAAAGGGGGAGAATAGGGTGGGGTGATGGAAAGCGGGAGAATGGGGCGGGGTGATGGAAAGTGGGAGAATGGGGCGGGCTGATGGAAAGCGGGAGAATGGGGCGGGGTGATGGAAGGAGGGAGAATGGGGCGGGGTGATGGAAGGAAGGAGAATGGGGCGGGTTGATAGAAAGCCGGAGAATGGGGCGGGGTGATGGAAAGCGGGAGAATGGGGTGGGGTTATGGGAAGCGGGAGAATGGGGCGTGGTGATGGAAAGCGGGAGAATGGGGCGGGGTGATGGAAGGAGGGAGAATGGGGCGGGGTGATGGAAGGAGGGAGAATGGGGCGGGATGATGGAAAGCGGGAGAATGGGCCGGGGTGATGGAAGGAGGGAGAATGGGGCGGGGTGATGGAAAGCGGGAGAATGGGGCGGGGTGATGGAAAGCGGGAGAATGGGGCGGGGTGATGGAAAGCGGGAAAATGGGGCGGGGTGATGGAAAGCGGGAGAATGGGGCGGGGTGATGGAAGGAGGGAGAATGGGGCGAGGTGATGGAAAGCGGAAGATTGGGGCAGGGTGATGGAAAGCGGGAGATTGGGGCAGGGTGATGGAAAGCGGGAAAATGGGGCGGGGTGATGGAAAGCGGGAGAATGGGGCCGGGTGATGGAAAGCGGGAGAATGGGGCGGGGAGATGGAAAGCGGGAGAAAGGGGCGGGTTGATGGAAAGCGGGAGAATGGGGCGGGCTGATGGAAAGTGGGAGAATGGGGCGGGGTGATGGAAGGAGGGAGAATGGGGCGGGGTGGTGGAAGGAGGGAGAAGGGGGCGGGGTGATGGAAAGCGGGAGAATGGGGCGGGTTGATGGAAAGCGGGAGAATGGGGCGGGGTGATGGAAAGCGGGAGAATGGGGCGGGGTGATGGAAAGCGGGAGAAGGGGGCGGGGTGATGGAAAGCGGGAGAATGGGGCGGGGTGATGGAAGGAGGGAGAATGGGGCGGGGTGATGGAAAGCGGGGGATTGGGGAAGGGTGATGGAAAGCGGGAGAATGGGGCGGGGTGATGGAAAGCGGGAATATGGGGCGGGGTGATGGAAAGCGGGAGAATGGGGCTGAGTGATGGAAAGCGGGAGAATGGGGCGGGGTGATGGAAAGCGGGACAATGGGGCGGGGTGATGGAAAGCGGGAGAATGGGGCGGGGTGATGGAAAGCGGGAGAATGGGGAGGGGTGTTGGAAAGCGGGAGAATGGGGCGGGGTGATGAAAAGTGGGAGAATGGGGCGGGGTGATGGAGAGCGGGAGAATGGGGCGGGGTGATGGAAAGCGGGAGATGGGGCGGGTGATGGAAAGCGGGTGAATGGTGTGGGGTGATGGAAAGCGGGAGAATGGGGCGGGGTGATGGAAAGCAGAAGAATGGGGCGGGGTAATGGAAAGTGGGAGAATGGGGCGGGGTGATGGAAAGCAGGAGAATGGGGCGGGGTGATGGAAGGAGGGAGAATGGGGAGGGGTGATGGAAAGCGGGGGAATGGGGCGGGATGATGGGAAGCGGAAGAATGGGGAGGGGTGATGGAAAGCGGGAGAATGGGGCAGGGTGATGGAAAGCGGGAGAATGGGGCGGGGAGATGGAAAGCGGGAGAATGGGGCGGGCTGATGGAAAGCGGGAGAATGGGGCGGGGTGATGGAAAGCGGGAGAATGGGGAGGGGTGTTGGAAAGCGGGAGAATGGGGCGGGGTGATGAAAAGTGGGAGAATGGGGCGGGGTGATGGAGAGCGGGAGAATGGGGCGGGGTGATGGAAAGCGGGAGATGGGGCGGGTGATGGAAAGCGGGTGAATGGTGTGGGGTGATGGAAAGCGGGAGAATGGGGCGGGGTGATGGAAAGCAGAAGAATGGGGCGGGGTAATGGTAAGTGGGAGAATGGGGCGGGGTGATGGAAAGCAGGAGAATGGGGCGGGGTGATGGAAGGAGGGAGAATGGGGAGGGGTGATGGAAAGCGGGGGAATGGGGCGGGATGATGGGAAGCGGAAGAATGGGGAGGGGTGATGGAAAGCGGGAGAATGGGGCAGGGTGATGGAAAGCGGGAGAATGGGGCGGGGAGATGGAAAGCGGGAGAATGGGGCGGGCTGATGGAAAGCGGGAGAATGGGGCGGGATGATGGAAAGCGGGAGAATGGGGCGGGGTTATGGAAGGAGGGAGAATGGGGCGGGGTGATGGAAGGAGGGAGAATGGGGCGGGATGAAGTGGGAGAAAGTGGCGGGGTGATGGAAAGCGGGAGATGGGGCTGGGGTTATGGGAAGCGGAGAATAGGGCGGGGTGATGGAAGGAGGGAGAATGGGGCGGGGTGATGGAAAGAGGGAGAATGGGGCGGGGTGATGGAAAGCGGGAGAATGGGGCGGGGTGATGGAAAGCGGGAGAACGGGGCGGGTGATGGAAAGCGGGAGAATGGGGCGGGGTGATGGAAAGCGGGGGAACGGGGCGGGGTGATGGAAAGCGGGAGAATGGGGCGGGGTGATGGAAAGCGGGAGAATGGGGCGAAGTGATGGAAAGCGGGAGAATGGGGCGAGGTGATGGAAGGAGGGAGAATGGGGCGGGGTGATAGAAGGTGGGAGGATGGGGTGGGGTGATGGAAAGCGGGAGAATGGGGCGGGGTGATGGAAAGCAGGAGAATGGGGTGGGGTGGTGGAAAGCAGGAGAATGGGGCGGGGTGATGGAAAGCAGGAGAATGGGGCGGGGTGATGGAAAACGGGAAAATGGGGCGGGGTGATGGAAAGCGGGAGAATGGGGCAGGGTGATGGAAGGAAGGAGAATGGGGCGAGGTGATCGAAGGAGGGAGAATGGGGTGGGGTGATGGAAAGCGGGAGAATGGGGCGGGGTGATGGAAAGCGGGAGAAGGGGGCAGGTTGATGGAAAGCGGGAGAATGGGGCGGGTGATGGAAAGTGGGTGAATGGTGCGGGGTGATGGAAAGCGGGAGAATGGGGCGGGGTGATGGAAAGCAGAAGAATGGGGCGGAGTGATGGAAAGCGGGAGAATGGGGCGAGGTGATGGAAAGCAGGAGAATGGGGCGGGTGATGGAAAGCGGGAGAATGGAGCGGGGTGATGGAAGGAGGGAGAATGGGGAGGGGTGATGGAAAGCGGGAGAATGGGGCGGGATGATGGGAAGCGGAAGAATGGGGCGGGGTGATGGAAAGCGGGAGAATGGGGCGGGGTGATGGAAGGAGGGAGAATGGGGCGGGGAGATGGAAAGCGGGAGAATGGGACGCGGTGAAGGAAGGAGGGAGAATGGGGCGGGGTGATGGAAGGAGGGAGAATGGGGCGGGATGATGGAAAGCGGGAGAATGGGCCGAGGTGATGGAAGGAGGGAGAATGGGGCGGGGTGATGGAAAGCGGGAGAATGGGGCGGGGTGATGGAAAGCGGGAGAATGGGGCGGGGTGATGGAAAGCGGGAGAATGGGGCGGGGTGATGGAAAGCGGGAGAATGGGGCGGGGTGATGGAAGGAGGGAGAATGGGGCGAGGTGATGGAAAGCGGAAGATTGGGGCAGGGTGATGGAAAGCGGGAGATTGGGGCAGGGTGATGGAAAGCGGGAAAATGGGGCGGGGTGATGGAAAGCGGGAGAATGGGGCCGGGTGATGGAAAGCGGGAGAATGGGGCGGGCTGATGGAAAGCGGAAGAATGGGGCGGGGTGATGGAAGGAGGGAGAATGGGGCGGGGTGGTGGAAGGAGGGAGAAGGGGGCGGGGTGATGGAAAGCGGGAGAATGGGGCGGGGTGATGGAAAGCGGGAGAATGGGGCGGGGTGATGGAAAGCGGGAGAATGGGGCGGGGTGATGGAAAGCGGGAGAATGGGGCGGGGTGATGGAAAGCGGGAGAATGGGGCGGGGTGATGGAAGGAGGGAGAATGGGGCGGGGTGATGGAAGGAAGGAGAATGGGGCGGGGTGATGGAAAGCGGGAGAACGTGGCGGGGTGATGGAAAGCGGGAGAATGGGTTGGGGTTGTGGCAAGCGGGAGAATGGGGCGGGGTGATGGAAAGCGGGAGAATGGGGCGGGGTGATGGAAGGAGGGAGAATGGGGCAGGGTGATGGAAGGAGGGAGAATGGGGCGGGGTGATAGAAAGCGGGAGAATGGGGCGGGGTGATGGAAGGAGGGAGAATGGGGCGGGGTGATGGAAAGCGGGAGAATGGGGCGGGGTGATGGAAAGCGGGAGAATGGGGCGGGGTGATGGAAAGCGGGAGAATGGGGCGGGGTGATGGAAAGCGGGAGAATGGGGCGGGGTGATGGAAAGCGGGAGAATGGGGCGGGGTGATGGAAGGAGGGAGAATGGGGCAGGGGTGATGGAAAGCGGAAGATTGGGGCAGGGTGATGGAAAGCGGGAGATTGGGGCGGGGTGCTGGAAAGCGGGAAAATGGGGCGGGTGATGGAAAGCGGGAGAATGGGGCGGGGTGATGGAAAGCGGGAGAATGGGGCGGGGTGATGGAAGGAGGGAGAATGGGGCGAGGTGATGGAAAGCGGGGGATTGGGGAAGGGTGATGGAAAGCGGGAGAATGGGGCGGGGTGATGGAAAGCGGGAAAATGGGGCGGGGTGATGGAAAGCGGGAGAATGGGGCTGGGTGATGGAAAGCGGGAGAATGGGGCGGGGTGATGGAAAGTGGGAGCATGGGGCGGGGTGATGGAAGGAGGGAGAATGAGGCAGGGTGATGGAAGGAGGGAGAATGGGCTGGGGTGATGGAAAGCGGGAGAATGGGGCGGGGTGATGGAAAGCAGGAGAATGGGGCGGAGTGATGGAAAGCGGGACAATGGGGCGGGGTGATGGAAAGCGGGAGAATGGGGCGGGGTGATGGAAAGCGGGAGAATGGGGAGGGGTGTTGGAAAGCGGGAGAATGGGGCGGGGTGATGAAAAGTGGGAGAATGGGGCGGGGTGATGGAGAGCGGGAGAATGGGGCGGGGTGATGGAAAGCGGGAGATGGGGCGGGTGATGGAAAGCGGGTGAATGGTGTGGGGTGATGGAAAGCGGGAGAATGGGGCGGGGTGATGGAAAGCAGAAGAATGGGGCGGGGTAATGGAAAGTGGGAGAATGGGGCGGGGTGATGGAAAGCAGGAGAATGGGGCGGGGTGATGGAAGGAGGGAGAATGGGGAGGGGTGATGGAAAGCGGGGGAATGGGGCGGGATGATGGGAAGCGGAAGAATGGGGCGGGGTGATGGAAAGCGGGAGAATGGGGCAGGGTGATGGAAAGCGGGAGAATGGGGCGGGGAGATGGAAAGCGGGAGAATGGGGCGGGCTGATGGAAAGCGGGAGAATGGGGCGGGCTGATGGAAAGCGGGAGAATGGGGCGGGGTGATGGAAGGAGGGAGAATGGGGCGGGGTGATGGAAGGAGGGAGAATGGGGCGGGATGAAGTGGGAGAAAGTGGCGGGGTGATAGAAAGCGGGAGATGGGGCTGGGGTTATGGGAAGCGGAGAATAGGGCGGGGTGATGGAAGGAGGGAGAATGGGGCGGGGTGATGGAAAGAGGGAGAATGGGGCGGGGTGATGGAAAGCGGGAGAATGGGGCGGGGTGATGGAAAGCGGGAGAACGGGGCGGGTGATGGAAAGCGGGAGAATGGGGCGGGGTGATGGAAAGCGGGGGAACGGGGCGGGGTGATGGAAAGCGGGAGAATGGGGCAGGGTGATGGAAAGCGGGAGAATGGGGCGAAGTGATGGAAAGCGGGAGAATGGGGCGAGGTGATGGAAGGAGGGAGAATGGGGCGGGGTGATAGAAGGTGGGAGGATGGGGTGGGGTGATGGAAAGCGGGAGAATGGGGCGGGGTGATGGAAAGCAGGAGAATGGGGCGGGGTGGTGGAAAGCAGGAGAATGGGGCGGGGTGATGGAAAGCAGGAGAATGGGGCGGGGTGATGGAAAACGGGAAAATGGGGCGGGGTGATGGAAAGCGGGAGAATGGGGCAGGGTGATGGAAGGAAGGAGAATGGGGCGAGGTGATGGAAGGAGGGAGAATGGGGTGGGGTGATGGAAAGAGGGAGATTGGGGCGGGGTGATGGAAAGCGGGAGAATGGGGCGGGGTGATGGAAAGCGGGAGAAGGGGGCAGGTTGATGGAAAGCGGGAGAATGGGGCGGGTGATGGAAAGTGGGTGAATGGTGCGGGGTGATGGAAAGCGGGAGAATGGGGCGGGGTGATGGAAAGCAGAAGAATGGGGCGGAGTGATGGAAAGCGGGAGAATGGGGCGAGGTGATGGAAAGCAGGAGAATGGGGCGGGTGATGGAAAGCGGGAGAATGGGGCGGGGTGATGGAAGGAGGGAGAATGGGGAGGGGTGATGGAAAGCGGGAGAATAAGGCGGGATGATGGGAAGCGGAAGAATGGGGCGGGGTGATGGAAAGCGGGAGAATGGGGCGGGGTGATGGAAGGAGGGAGAATGGGGCGGGGAGATGGAAAGCGGGAGAATGGGACGGGGTGATGGAAGGAGGGAGAATGGGGAGGGGTGATGGAAAGCGGGAGAATGGGGCGGGATGATGGGAAGCGGAAGAATGGGGCGGGGTGATGGAAAGCGGGAGAATGGGGCAGGGTGATGGAAATCGGGAGAATGGGGCGGGGAGATGGAAAGCGGGAGAATGGGACGGGGTGATGGAAAGCGGGGGAATGGGGCGGGGTGATGGAAAGCGGGAGAATGGGGCTGGGGTTATGGGAAGCGGAGAATAGGGCGGGGTGATGGAAGGAGGGAGAATGGGGCGGGGTGATGGAAAGAGGGAGAATGGGGCGGGGTGATGGAAAGCGGGAGAATGGGGCGGGGTGATGGAAAGCGGGAGAATGGGGCGGAGTGATGGAAAGCGGGAGAATGGGGCGAGGTGATGGAAGGAGGGAGAATGGGGCGGGATGATAGAAGGTGGGAGGATGGGGTGGGGTGATGGAAAGCGGGAGAATGGGGCGTGGTGATGGAAAGCAGGAGAATGGGGCGGGGTGGTGGAAAGCAGGAGAATGGGGCGGGGTGATGGAAAGCAGGAGAATGGGGCGGGGTGATGGAAAACGGGAAAATGGGGCGGGGTGATGGAAAGCGGGAGAATGGGGCAGGGTGATGGAAGGAAGGAGAATGGGGCGAGGTGATGGAAGGAGGGAGAATGGGGTGGGGTGATGGAAAGAGGGAGATTGGGGCGGGGTGATGGAAAGCGGGAGAATGGGGCGGGGTGATGGAAAGCGGGAGAAGGGGGCAGGTTGATGGAAAGCGGGAGAATGGGGCGGGGTGATGGAAAGCGGGAGAAGGGGGCAGGTTGATGGAAAGCGGGAGAATGGGGCGGGGTGATGGAAAGCGGGAGAATGGGGCGGGGTGATGGAAAGCGGGAGAATGGGGCGGGCTGATGGAAAGCGGGAGAATGGGGCGGGTGATGGAAGGAGGGAGAATGGGGCGGGGTGATGGAAGGAGGGAGAATGGGGTGGGATGAAGTGGGAGAAAGTGGCGGGGTGATGGAAAGCGGGAGATGGGGCTGGGGTTATGGGAAGCGGAGAATAGGGCGGGGTGATTGAAGGAGGGAGAATGGGGCGGGGTGATGGAAAGAGGGAGAATGGGGCGGGGTGATGGAAAGCGGGAGAATGGGGCGGGGTGATGGAAAGCGGGAGAACGGGGCGGGGTGATGGAAAGCGGGAGAATGGGGCGGGGTGATGGAAAGCGGGGGAATGGGGCGGGGTGATGGAAAGCGGGAGAATGGGGCAGGGTGATGGAAACCAGGAGAATGAGGTGGAGTGATGGAAAGCGGGAGAATGGGGCGAGGTGATGGAAGGAGGGAGAAAGGGGCGGGGTGATAGAAGGTGGGAGGATGGGGTGGGGTGATGGAAAGCGGGAGAATGGGGCGGGGTGATGGAAAGCAGGAGAATGGGGCGGGGTGGTGGAAAGCAGGAGAATGGGGCGGGGTGATGGAAAGCAGGAGAATGGGGCGGGGTGATGTAAGGAGGGAGAATGGGGCGGGGTGATAGAAGGAGGGAGAATGGAGCGGGGTGATGGAAGGAGGGAGAATGGGGCGGGGTGATGGAAAGTGGGAGAATTCTCCCGCTTTCCATCATCCCGCCCCTTTCTATCGCTTTCCATCTCCCCGCCCCATTCTCCCGCTTTCCATCACCCCGCCCCATTCTCCCGCTTTCCATCACCCCGCCCCATTCTTCCGCTTCCCATCATCCCGCCCCATTCTCCCGCTTTCCATCACCCCGCCCCATTCTCCCTCCTTCCATCACCCCGCCCCATTCTCCCGCTTTCCATCAGCCCACCCCATTCACCCGCTTTCCATCACACCGCCCCATTCTCCCGCTTTCCATCACCCCGCCCCATTCTCCCGCTTTCAATCACCCCGCCCCATTCTCCCATCACCCCGCCCCATTCTCCCGCTTTCCATCACCACGCCCCATTCTACCGCTTTCCATCACCCCGCCCCATTCTCCCGCTTTCCATCAGCCCTCCCCATTCTCCCGCTTTCCATCACCCCGCCCCATTCTTCCGCTTTCCATCACCCCGCCCCATTCTCCCGCTTTCCATCACCCCGCCCCATTCTCCCGCTTTCCATCACCACGCCCCATTCTCCCTCCTTCCATCACCCCGCCCCATTCTCCCGCTTTCCATCACCCCGCCCCATTCTCCCTCCTTCCATCACCCCACCTCATTCTACCTCCTGCCATCACCCCGCCCCATGCTCCCGCTTTCCATCATCCCGCCCCATTCTCCCGCTTTTCATCACCCCGCCCCATTCTCCCACTTTCCATCACCCCGCCCCATTCTCCCGCTTTCCATCACCCCGCCCCATTCTCCCTCCTTCCATCACCCCGCCCCATTCTCACGCTTTCCATCAGCCCACCCCATTCACCCGCCTTCCATCACACCGCCCCATTCTCCCGCTTTCCATCACCCCGCCCCATTCTCCCGCTTTCCATCACCCCGCCCCATTCTCAAATCACCCCGCCCCATTCTCCCGCTTTCCATCACCACGCCCCATTCTCCCACTTTCCATCACCACGCCCCATTCTCCCGCTTTCCATCACTCCGCCCCATTCTCCCGCTTTCCATCACCCCGCCCCATTCTCCTGCTTTCCATCACCCCGCCCCATTCTTCTCCTTCCATTACCCCGCCTCATTCTACCTCCTTCCATCACCCCGCCCCATTCTCCCGTTTTCCATCACCCCGCCCCATTCTCTCGCTTTCCATCACCCCGCCCCATTCTCCCGCTTTCCATCACCACGCCCCATTCTCCCGCTTTCCATCACCCCACCCCATTCTCCCTCCTTCCATCACCCTGCCCCATTCTCCCGCTTTCTGTCACCCCGCCCCATTCTCCCGCTTTCCATAACCCGGCCCCATTCTCCCGCTTTCCATCACCCCGCCACATTCTCCCACTTTCCATCACCCCGGCCCATTCTCCCTCCTTCCATCACCCTGCCCCATTCTCCCTCCTTCCATCACCCCGCCCCATTCTCCCGCTTTCCATCAGCCCTCCCCATTCTCCCGCTTTCCATCACCCCGCCCCATTCTCTCGCTTTTCATCACCCCACCCCATTCTCCCGCTTTCCATCACCCCGCCCCCTTCTCCCTCCTTCCATCACCCCGCCCCATTCTCCCTCCTTCCATCACCCCGCCCCATTCTCCCACTTTCTTTCAGCCCGCCCCATTCTCCCGCTTTCCATCACCCCGCCCCTTTCTCCCGCTTTGCATCTCCCCGCCCCATTCTCCCGCTTTCCATCACCCCGCCCCATTCTCCCGCTTTACATTACCCCGCCCCATTCTCCCACTTTCCATGGCTCCGCCCCATTCTCCCTCCTTCCATCACCCCGCCTCATTCTACCTCCTTCCATCACCCCGCCCCATGCTCCCGCTTTCCATCACCCCGCCCCATTCTCCCGCTTTTCATCACCCCGCCCCATTCTCCCGCTTTCCATCACCCCGCCCCATTCTCCCGCTTTCCATCACCCCGCCCCATTCTCCCTCCTTCCATCACCCCGCCCCATTCTCCCGCTTTCCATCACCCCGCCCCATGCTCCCGCTTTCCATCACCCCGCCCCATTCTCCCATCACCCCGCCCCATTCACCCGCTTTCCATCACCCGCCCCATTCTCCTGATTTCCATCACCCCGCCCCATTCTCCCGCTTTCCATCACCCCGCCCCATTCTCCCGCTTTCCATCACCCCGCCTCATTCTCCCGCTTTCCATCACCCAGCCCCATTCTCCCACTTTCCATCACCCCGCCCCATTTTCCCGCTTTCTATCACGCTGCCCCATTCTCACGCTTTCCATCACCCTGCCCCAATCTCCCGCTTTCCATCACCCCGCCCCATTCTCCCTCCTTCCATCACCCCGCCCCATTCTCCCGCTTTCCATCACCCCGCCCCATTCTCCCGCTTTCCATAACCCCGCCCCATTCTCCCTCCTTCCATCACCCGCCCCGTTCTCCCTCCTTCCATCACCCCGCCCCTTTCTCCCTCCTTCCATCACCCCGCCCTATTCTCCCGCTTTCCATCAGCCCACCCCATTTTCCTGCTTTCCATCACCCCGCCCCATTCTCCCGCTTTCCATCACCCCGCCCCATTCTCCCGCTTTCCATCACCCCGCCCCATTCTCCCGCTTTCCATCACCCTGCCCCATTCTCCCGCTTTCCATCACCCCGCCCCATTCTCCCACTTTCCATCACCCCGCCCCATTCTCCCGCTTTCCATCTCCCCGCCCCATTCTCCCTCCTTCCATCACCCCGCCTCATTCTACCTCCTTCCATCACCCCGCCTCATGCTCCCGCTTTCCATCACCCCGCCCCATTCTCCCGCTTTCCATCACCCCGCCCCATTCTCCCTCCTTCCATCACCCCGCCCCATTCTGCCGCTTTCCATCACTCCGCTCCATTCTCCCGCTTTCCATCACTGCGCCCCATTCTCCCGCTTTCCATCACCCCGCCCCATTCTCCCGCTTTCCATCACCCCGCCCCATTCTCCCTCCTTCCATCACCCCGCCCCATTCTCCCGCTTTCCATCACCCCGCCCCATTCTCCCTCCTTCCATCACCCCGCCCCATTCTCCCGCTTTCCATCACCCCGCGCTATTCTCCCTCCTTCCATCACCCTGCCCCATTCTCCCGCTTTCCATCACCCCGCCCCATTCTCCCGCTTCCCATAACCCCACCTCATTCTCCCGCTTTCCATCACCCCGCCACATTCTCCCGCTTTCCATCACCCCGCCCCATTCTCCTTCCTTCCATCACCCCGCCCCATTCTCCCGCTTTCCATCAGCCCGCCCCTTTCTCCCGCTTTCCATCTCCCTGCCCCATTCTCTCGCTTTCCATCATCCCGCCCCATTCTCCCGCTTTCCATCACCCCGCCCCATTCTCCCGCTTCCCATCATCCCGCCCCATTCCCCCGCTTTCCATCACCCCTCCCCATTCTCCCTCCTTCTATCACCCCGCCCCATTCTCCCGCTTTCCATTACCCGCCCCATTCTCCCGCTTTCCATCACCTCGCCCCATCTCCCGCTTTCCATCACCCCGCCCTATTCTTCTGCTTTCCATCACCCTGCCCCATTCTCCTGCTTTGCATCAAACCCGCCCCATTCACCCGCTTTCCATCACCCGCCCCATTCTTCTGCTTTCCATCACCCCGCCCCATTCTCCCACTTTCCATCACCCCGCCCCATTCTCCCGCTTTTCATCACCCCGCCCCATTCACCCGCTTCCCAACACCCCGCCCCATTCTCCCCCTTTCCATCACCCCGCTCCATTCTCCCGCTTTCCATCACTCCGCCCCATTCTCTCGCTTTCCATCACCCCGCCCCATTCTCCTGCTTTTCATCACCCCGCCCCATTCTCCCTCCTTCCATCACTCCGCCTCATTATCCCTACTTCCATCACCCCGCCCCATTCTCCCGCTTTCCATCACCCCGCCCCATTCTCCCGCTTTCCATCTCCCCGCCCCATTCTCCCTCCTTCCATCACCCCGCCTCATTCTACCTCCTTCCATCACCCCGCCCCATGCTCCCGCTTTCCATCACCCCGCCCCATTCTCCCGCTTTCCATCACCCCGCCCCATTCTCCCTCCTTCCATCACCCCGCCCCATTCTGCCGCTTTCCATCACTCCGCTCCATTCTCCCGCTTTCCATCACTGCGCCCCATTCTCCCGCTTTCCATCACCCCGCCCCATTCTCCCGCTTTCCATCACCCCGCCCCATTCTCCCTCCTTCCATCACCCCGCCCCATTCTCCCGCTTTCCATCACCCCGCCCCATTCTCCCTCCTTCCATCACCCCGCCCCATTCTCCCGCTTTCCATCACCCCGCGCTATTCTCCCTCCTTCCATCACCCTGCCCCATTCTCCCGCTTTCCATCACCCCGCCCCATTCTCCCGCTTCCCATAACCCCACCTCATTCTCCCGCTTTCCATCACCCCGCCACATTCTCCCGCTTTCCATCACCCCGCCCCATTCTCCTTCCTTCCATCACCCCGCCCCATTCTCCCGCTTTCCATCAGCCCGCCCCTTTCTCCCGCTTTCCATCTCCCTGCCCCATTCTCCCGCTTTCCATCATCCCGCCCCATTCTCCCGCTTTCCATCACCCCGCCCCATTCTCCCGCTTCCCATCATCCCGCCCCATTCCCCCGCTTTCCATCACCCCTCCCCATTCTCCCTCCTTCTATCACCCCGCCCCATTCTCCCGCTTTCCATTACCCGCCCCATTCTCCCGCTTTCCATCACCTCGCCCCATCTCCCGCTTTCCATCACCCCGCCCTATTCTTCTGCTTTCCATCACCCCGCCCCATTCTCCTGCTTTGCATCAAACCCGCCCCATTCACCCGCTTTCCATCACCCGCCCCATTCTCCTGCTTTCCATCACCCCGCCCCATTCTCCCACTTTCCATCACCCCGCCCCATTCTCCCGCTTTTCATCACCCCGCCCCATTCACCCGCTTCCCAACACCCCGCCCCATTCTCCCGCTTTCCATCACCCCGCTCCATTCTCCCGCTTTCCATCACTCCGCCCCATTCTCCCGCTTTCCATCACCCCGCCCCATTCTCCTGCTTTTCATCACCCCGCCCCATTCTCCCTCCTTCCATCACTCCGCCTCATTATCCCTCCTTCCATCACCCCGCCCCATTCTCCCGCTTTCCATCACCCCGCCCCATTCTCCCGCTTTCCATCACCCAGCCCCATTCTCCCACTTTCCATCACCCCGCCTTATTTTCCCGCTTTCTATCACCCCGCCCCATTCTCACGCTTTCCATCACCATGCCCCAATCTCCCTCCTTCCATCACCCCGACCCATTCTCCCGCTTGCCATCACCCCGCCCCATTCTCCCGCTTTCCATCAGCCCTCCCCATTCTCCCGCTTTCCATCACCCCGCCCCATTCTCTCTCTTTTCATCACCCCACCCCATTCTCCCGCTTTCCATCACCCCGCCCCCTTCTCCCTCCTTCCATCACCCCGCCCCATTCTCCCTCCTTCCATCACCCCGCCCCATTCTCCCACTTTCTATCAGCCCGCCCCATTCTCCCGCTTTCCATCACCCCGCCCCTTTCTCCCGCTTTGCATCTCCCCGCCCCATTCTCCCGCTTTCCATCACCCCGCCCCATTCTCCCGCTTTCCATCACCCCGCCCCATTCTCCCACTTTCCATCACCCCGCCCCATTCTCCCTCCTTCCATCACCCCGCCTCATTCTACCTCCTTCCATCACCCCGCCCCATGCTCCCGCTTTCCATCACCCCGCCCCATTCTCCCGCTTTTCATCACCCCGCCCCATTCTCCCGCTTTCCATCACCCCGCCCCATTCTCCCGCTTTCCATCACCCCGCCCCATTCTCCCTCCTTCCATCACCCCGCCCCATTCTCCCGCTTTCCATCACCCCGCCCCATGCTCCCGCTTTCCATCACCCCGCCCCATTCTCCCATCACCCCGCCCCATTCACCCGCTTTCCATCACCCGCCCCATTCTCCCGCTTTCCATCACCCCGCCCCATTCTCCCGCTTTCCATCACCCCGCCCCATTCTCCCGCTTTCCATCACCCCGCCCCATTCTCCCGCTTTCCATCACCCAGCCCCATTCTCCCACTTTCCATCACCCCGCCCCATTTCCCCGCTTTCTATCACCTTGCCCCATTCTCACGCTTTCCATCACCCTGCCCCAATCTCCCGCTTTCCATCACCCCGCCCCATTCTCCCTCCTTCCATCACCCCGCCCCATTCTCCCGCTTTCCATCACCCCGCCCCATTCTCCCGCTTTCCATAACCCCGCCCCATTCTCCCTCCTTCCATCACCCGCCCCGTTCTCCCTCCTTCCATCACCCCGCCCCTTTCTCCCTCCTTCCATCACCCCGCCCTATTCTCCCGCTTTCCATCAGCCCACCCCATTCTCCCGCTTTCCATCACCCCGCCCCATTCTCCCGCTTTCCATCACCCCGCCCCATTCTCCCGCTTTCCATCACCCCGCCCCATTCTCCCGCTTTCCATCACCCTGCCCCATTCTCCCGCTTTCCATCACCCCGCCCCATTCTCCCGCTTTCCATCACCCCGCCCCATTCTCCCGCTTTTCATCTCCCCGCCCCATTCTCCCTCCTTCCATCACCCCGCCTCATTCTACGTCCTTCCATCACCCCGCCCCATGCTCCCGCTTTCCATCACCCCGCCCCATTCTCCCGCTTTCCATCACCCCGCCCCATTCTCCCTCTTTCCATCACCCCGCCCCATTCTGCCGCTTTCCATCACTCCGCCCCATTCTCCCGCTTTCCATCACCGTGCCCCATTCTCCCGCTTTCCATCACCCCGCCCCATTCTCCCGCTTTCCATCACCCCGCCCCATTCTCCCTCCTTCCATCACCCCGCCCCATTCTCCTGCTTTCCATCACCCCGCCCCATTCTCCCTCCTTCCATCACCCCGCCCCATTCTCCCGCTTTCCATCACCCCGCGCTATTCTCCCTCCTTCCATCACCCCGCCCCATTTTCCAGCTTTCCATCACCCCGCCCCATTCTCCCGCTTCCCATAACCCCACCTCATTCTCCCGCTTTCCATCACCCCGCCACATTCTCCCGCTTCCATCACCCCGCCCCATTCTCCTTCCTTCCATCACCCCGCCCCATTCTCCCGCTTTCCATCACCCCACCCCATTCTCCCGCTTCCCATCATCCCGCCCCATTTCCCCGCTTTCCATCACCCCTCCCCATTCTCCCTCCTTCTATCACCCCGCCCCATTCTCCCGCTTTCCATTACCCGCCCCATTCTCCCGCTTTCCATCACCTCGCCCCATCTCCCGCTTTCCATCACCCCGCCCTATTCTTCTGCTTTCCATCACCCCGCCCCATTCTCCTACTTTCCATCACCCCCCCCCATTAACCCGCTTTCCATCACCCACCCCATTCTCCTGCTTTCCATCACCCCGCCCCATTCTCCCACTTTCTATCACCCCGCCCCATTCTCCCGCTTTTCATCACCCCGCCCCATTCTCCCGCTTTCCAACACCCCGCCCCATTCTCCCGCTTTCCATCACCCCGCTCCATTCTCCCGCTTTCCATCAGTCCGCCCCATTCTCCCGCTTTCCATCACCCCGCCCCATTCTCCTGCTTTTCATCACCCCGCCCCATTCTCCCTCCTTCCATCACTCCGCCTCATTATCCCTCCTTCCATCACCCCGCCCCATTCTCCCGCTTTCCATCACCCCGCTCCATTCTCTGCTTTCCATCACCCAGCCCCATTCTCCCACTTTCCATCACCCCGCCTTATTTTCCCGCTTTCTATCACCCCGCCCCATTCTCACGCTTTCCATCACCATGCCCCAATCTCCCTCCTTCCATCACCCCGCCCCATTCTCCCGCTTTCCATCACCCCGCCCCGTTCTCCCGCTTTCCATAACCCCGCCCCATTCTCCCTCCTTCCATCACCCGCCCCATTCTCCCTCCTTCCATCACCCCGCCCCATTCTCCCTCCTTCCATCACCCCGCCCCATTCTCCCGCTTTCCATCAGCCCTCCCCATTCTCCCGCTTTCCATCACTCCGCCCCATTCCCCCGCTTTCCATCACCCTGCCCCATTCTCCCGCTTTCGATCACCCCGCCCCATTCTACCTCTTTCCATCACCCCGCCCCATTCTCCCGCTTTCCATCACCCCACCCCATTCTCCCGCTTTCCATCACCCCGCCCCATTCTCCCGCTTTCCATCACCCCGCCCCATTCTCCCGCTTTCCATCACCCCGCCCCATTCTCCCGCTTTCCATCACCATGCCCCAATCTCCCTCCTTCCATCACCCCGCCCCATTCTCCCGCTTTCCATCACCCCGCCCCATTGTCCCTCCTTCCATAACCCCGCCTCGTTCTACCTTCTTCCATCACCCCGCCCCATACTCCCGCTTTCCATCACCCCGCCCCATTCTCCCGCTTTCCATCACACCGCCCCATTCTCCCGCTTTCCATCACCCCGCCCCATTCTCCCGCTTTCCATCACCCCGCCCCATTCTCCCATCACCCCGCCCCATTCTCCCGCTTTCCATCACCACGCCCCATTCTCCCGCTTTCCATCACTCCGCCCCATTCTCCCTCTTTCCATCACCCCGCCCCATTCTCCTGCTTTCCATCACCCCGCCCCATTCTTCTCCTTCCATCACCCCGCCTCATTCTACCTCCTTCCATCACCCCGCCCCATTCTCCCGCTTTCCATAACCCCGCCCTATTCTCCCACTTTCCATCACCCCGCCCCATTCTCCCGCTTTCCATCACCACGACCCATTCTCTCGCTTTTCATCACCCCACCCCATTCTCCCGCTTTCCATCACCCCACCCCATTCTCCCGCATTCCATCACCCCGCCCAAATCTCCCTCCTTCCATCACCCCGCCCCATTCTCCCACTTTCCATCACCCCTCCACATTCTCCCGCTTTCCATCACCCCGCCCCATTCTCTCGCTTTTCATCACCCCACCCCATTCTCCCGCTTTCCATCACCCCGCCCCCTTCTCCCTCCTTCCGTCACCCCGCCCCATTCTCCCTCCTTCCATCACCCCGCCCCATTCTCCCACTTTCTATCAGCCCGCCCCATTCTCCCGCTTTCCATCACCCCACCCCTTTCTCCCGCTTTCCATCACCCCGCCCCATTCTCCCGCTTTCCATCACCCCGCCCCATTCTCCCTCCTTCCATCACCCCGCCCCATTCTCCTGCTTTCCATCACCCCGCCCCATTCTCCCTCCTTCCATCACCCCGCCCCATTCTCCCGCTTTCCATCACCCCGCGCTATTCTCCCTCCTTCCATCACCCCGCCCTATTTTCCAGCTTTCCATCACCCCGCCCCATTCTCCCGCTTCCCATAACCCCACCTCATTCTCCCGCTTTCCATCACCCCGCCACATTCTCCCGCTTTCCATCACCCCGCCCCATTCTCCTTCCTTCCATCACCCCGCCCCATTCTCCCGCTTTCCATCACCCCGCCCCATTCTCCCGCTTTCCATCAGGCCGCCCCTTTCTCCCTCCTTCCATCACCCCGCCCCATTCTCCCTCCTTCCATCACCCAGCCCCATTCTCCCGCTTTCCATCAGCCCGCCCCTTTCTCCCGCTTTCCATCTCCCTGCCCCATTCTCCTGCTTTCCGTCAACCCGCCCCATTCTCCCGCTTTCCTTCACCCCACCCCATTCTCCCGCTTCCCATCATCCCGCCCCATTTCCCCGCTTTCCATCACCCCTCCCCATTCTCCCTCCTTCTATCACCCCGCCCCATTCTCCCGCTTTCCATTACCCGCCCCATTCTCTCGCTTTCCATCACCTCGCCCCATCTCCCGCTTTCCATCACCCCGCCCTATTCTTCTGCTTTCCATCACCCCGCCCCATTCTCCTACTTTCCATCACCCCCCCCCATTAACCCGCTTTCCATCACCCACCCCATTCTCCTGCTTTCCATCACCCCGCCCCATTCTCCCACTTTCTATCACCCCGCCCCATTCTCCCGCTTTTCATCACCCCGCCCCATTCTCCCGCTTTCCAACACCCCGCCCCATTCTCCCGCTTTCCATCACCCCGCTCCATTCTCCCGCTTTCCATCAGTCCGCCCCATTCTCCCGCTTTCCATCACCCCGCCCCATTCTCCTGCTTTTCATCACCCCGCCCCATTCTCCCTCCTTCCATCACTCCGCCTCATTATCCCTCCTTCCATCACCCCGCCCCATTCTCCCGCTTTCCATCACCCCGCTCCATTCTCTGCTTTCCATCACCCAGCCCCATTCTCCCACTTTCCATCACCCCGCCTTATTTTCCCGCTTTCTATCACCCCGCCCCATTCTCACGCTTTCCATCACCATGCCCCAATCTCCCTCCTTCCATCACCCCGCCCCATTCTCCCGCTTTCCATCACCCCGCCCCATTCTCCCGCTTTCCATAACCCCGCCCCATTCTCCCTCCTTCCATCACCCGCCCCATTCTCCCTCCTTCCATCACCCCGCCCCATTCTCCCTCCTTCCATCACCCCGCCCCATTCTCCCGCTTTCCATCAGCCCTCCCCATTCTCCCGCTTTCCATCACCCCGCCCCATTCCCCCGCTTTCCATCACCCTGCCCTATTCTCCCGCTTTCGATCACCCCGCCCCATTCTCCCTCTTTCCATCACCCCGCCCCATTCTCCCGCTTTCCATCACCCCACCCCATTCTCCCGCTTTCCATCACCCCGCCCCATTCTCCCGCTTTCCATCACCCCGCCCCATTCTCCCGCTTTCCATCACCCCGCCCCATTCTCCCGCTTTCCATCACCATGCCCCAATCTCCCTCCTTCCATCACCCCGCCCCATTCTCCCGCTTTCCATCACCCCGCCCCATTGTCCCTCCTTCCATAACCCCGCCTCGTTCTACCTTCTTCCATCACCCCGCCCCATGCTCCCGCTTTCCATCACCCCGCCCCATTCTCCCGCTTTCCATCACACCGCCCCATTCTCCCGCTTTCCATCACCCCGCCCCATTCTCCCGCTTTCCATCACCCCGCCCCATTCTCCCATCACCCCGCCCCATTCTCCCGCTTTCCATCACCACGCCCCATTCTCCCGCTTTCCATCACTCCGCCCCATTCTCCCTCTTTCCATCACCCCGCCCCATTCTCCTGCTTTCCATCACCCCGCCCCATTCTTCTCCTTCCATCACCCCGCCTCATTCTACCTCCTTCCATCACCCCGCCCCATTCTCCCGCTTTCCATAACCCCGCCCTATTCTCCCACTTTCCATCACCCCGCCCCATTCTCCCGCTTTCCATCACCACGCCCCATTCTCTCGCTTTTCATCACCCCACCCCATTCTCCCGCTTTCCATCACCCCACCCCATTCTCCCGCATTCCATCACCCCGCCCAAATCTCCCTCCTTCCATCACCCCGCCCCATTCTCCCACTTTCCATCACCCCTCCACATTCTCCCGCTTTCCATCACCCCGCCCCATTCTCTCGCTTTTCATCACCCCACCCCATTCTCCCGCTTTCCATCACCCCGCCCCCTTCTCCCTCCTTCCGTCACCCCGCCCCATTCTCCCTCCTTCCATCACCCCGCCCCATTCTCCCACTTTCTATCAGCCCGCCCCATTCTCCCGCTTTCCATCACCCCACCCCTTTCTCCCGCTTTGCATCTCCCCGCCCCATTCTTTCGCTTTCCATCACCCTGCCCCATTCTCCCGCTTTCCATCACCCCGCCCCATTCTCCCACTTTCCATCACCCCGCCCCATTCTCCCTCCTTCCATCACCCCGCCTCATTCTACCTCCTTCCATCACCCCGCCCCATGCTCCCGCTTTCCATCACCCCGCCCCATTCTCCCGCTTTTCATCACCCCGCCCCATTCTCCCGCTTTCCATCACCCCGCCCCATTCTCCCGCTTTCCATCATCCCGCCCCGTTCTCCCTCCTTCCATCACCCCGCCCCATTCTCTCGTTTTCCATCACCCCGCCCCATGCTCCCGCTTTCCATCACCCCGCCCCATTCTCTCGCTTTCCATCACCACGCCCCATTCTCCCGCTTTCCATCACCCCGCCCCATTCTCCCGCTTTCCATCACTCCGCCCCATTCTCCCGCTTTCCATCACCCCGCCCCATTCTCCCGCTTTCCATCACCCCGCCCCATTCTTCTCCTTCCATCACCCCGCCTCATTCTACCTCCTTCCATCACCCCGCCCCATTCTCCCGCTTTCCATCACCCTGCCCATTCTCCCGCTTTCCATCACCCCGCCCCATTCTCCCTCTTTCCATCACCCCGCCCCTTTCTCCCGCTTTCCATCACACCACCCCATTCTCCCGCTTTCCATCACCACGCCCCATTTTCCCTCTTTCCATCACCCCGCCCCATTCTCCCGCTTTCCATCACCCCGCCCAATTCTCCCGCTTTCCATCACCCCTGCTCCATTCTCCCGCATTCCATCACCCCGCCTAATTCTCCCTCTCTCCATCACCCCTCCCCATTCTCCCTCTTTCCATCACCCCGCCACATTCTCCCGCTTTCCATCACCGCGCCTCATTATCCCTCTTTCCATCACCCCGCCCCATTCTCCCACTTTCCATCACACCGCCCCATTCTCCCTCTATCCATCACCCCGCCCTATTCTCCAGCTTTCCATCACACCGCCCCATTCTCCCGCTTTCCATCACCCCTCCCCATTCTCCCGCTTTCCATCACCCCGCCCCATTCTCCCGCTTTCCATCACCCCGCCCCATTCTCCCTCTTTCCATCACCCCGCCCTATTCTCCCTCTTTCCATCACCCCGCTCCATTCTCCCGCTTTCTATCACCCCGCCCCATTCTCTCGCTTTCCATCACCCCACCCCATTCTCCCGCTTTCCATCACCCCGCTCCGTTCTCCCGCTTTCCATCACCCCGCCCAGTTCTCCCTCTTTCCATCACCCCTCCCCATTATCCCTCTTTCCATCACCCCGCCCCCTTCTCCCTCTTTCCATCACCCCGCCCCATTCTCCCGCTTTCCATCACCCCGCCCCATTCTCCCTCTTTCCATCACCCCGCCCCATTCTCCCGCTTTCCATCACCCCGCCCCATTCTCCTGCTTTCCATCACCCCGCCCCATTCTTCCGCTTTCCATCACCCCGCCCCATTCTCCCTCTTTCCATCTCCCCGCCCCATTCTCCCTTTCTCCATCACCCCGCCACATTCTCCCGCTTTCCATCATCCCGCCCCATTCTCCCGCTTTCAATCACCCCGCCCCATTCTTCCGCTTTCCATCACCCCGCCCCATTCTCCCTCTTTCCATCAGCCCGCCCCATTCTCCCTCTTTCCATCACCTCGCCCCATTCTCCCGCTTTCATCACCCCGCCCCATTCTCCCGCTATTTCATCACCCCGCCCCATTCTCCCGCTTTCCATCACCCCGCCCCGTTCTCCCTCTTTCCATCACCCCGCCCTATTCTCCCTCTTTCCATCACCCCGCTCCATTCTCCCGCTTTCCATCACCCCGCCCAGTTCTCCCTCTTTCCATCACCCCTCCCCATTATCCCTCTTTCCATCACCCCGCCCCCTTCTCCCTCTTTCCATCACCCCGCCCCATTATCCCGCTTTCCATCACCCCGCCCCATTCTCCCGCTTTCCATCACCCCGCCCCATTCTCCCGCTTTCCATCACCCCGCCCCATTCTTCCGCTTTCCATCACCCCGCCCCATTCTCCCTCTTTCCATCTCCCCGCCCCATTCTCCCTCTCTCCATCACCCCACCCCATTCTCCCGCTTTCCATCATCCCGCCCCATTCTCCCGCTTTCAATCACCCTGCCCCATTCTTCCGCTTTCCATCACCCCGCCCCATTCTCCCTCTTTCCATCAGCCCGCCCCATTCTCCCTCTTTCCATCACCTCGCCCCATTCTCCCGCTTTCCATCACCCCGCCCCATTCTCCCGCTATTTCATCACCCCGCCCCATTCTCCCTCTTTCCATAACCCCGCCCTATTCTCCCTCTTTCCATCACCCCGCAACATTCTCCCTCTTTTCATCACCCCACCCCATTCTCCCGCTTTCCATCACCACGCCCCATTTTCCCTCTTTCCATCACCCCGCCCCATTCTCCCGCTTTCCATCACCCCGCCCAATTCTCCCCCTTTCCATCACCCCGCTCCATTCTCCCGCATTCCATCACCCCGCCTAATTCTCCCTCTCTCCATCACCCCTCCCCATTCTCCCTCTTTCCATCACCCCGCCACATTCTCCCACTTTCCATCACCGCGCCTCATTATCCCTCTTTCCATCACCCCGCCCCATTCTTCCACTTTCCATCACACCGCCCCATTCTCCCTCTATCCATCACCCCGCCCTATTCTCCAGCTTTCCATCACACCGCCCCATTCTCCCGCTTTCCATCACCCCTCCCCATTCTCCCGCTTTCCATCACCCCGCCCCATTCTCCCGCTTTCCATCACCCCGCCCCATTCTCCCTCTTTCCATCACCCCGCCCTATTCTCCCTCTTTCCATCACCCCGCTCCATTCTCCCGCTTTCTATCACCCCGCCCCATTCTCCCGCTTTCCATCACCCCACCCCATTCTCCCGCTTTCCATCACCCCGCTCCATTCTCCCGCTTTCCATCACCCCGCCCAGTTCTCCCTCTTTCCATCACCCCTCCCCATTATCCCTCTTTCCATCACCCCGCCCCCTTCTCCCTCTTTCCATCACCCCGCCCCATTCTCCCTCTTTCCATCACCCCGCCCCATTCTCCCTCTTTCCATCACCCCGCCCCATTCTCCCGCTTTCCATCACCCCGCCCCATTCTCCCGCTTTCCATCACCCCGCCCCATTCTTCCGCTTTCCATCACCCCGCCCCATTCTCCCTCTTTCCGTCTCCCCTTCTCCCTCTCTCCATCACCCCGCCCCATTCTCCCGCTTTCCATCATCCTGCCCCATTCTCCCGCTTTCAATCACCCCGCCCCATTCTTCCGCTTTCCATCACCCCGCCCCATTCTCCCTCTTTCCATCAGCCCGCCCGATTCTCCCTCTTTCCATCACCTCGCCCCATTCTCCCGCTTTCCATCACCCCGCCCCATTCTCCCGCTATTTCATCACCCCGCCCCATTCTCCCGCTTTCCATCACCCCGCCCCAGTTCTCCCTCTTTCCATCACCCCGCCCTATTCTCCCTCTTTCCATCACCCCGCTCCATTCTCCCGCTTTCTATCACCCCGCCCCATTCTCCCGCTTTCCATCACCCCACCCCATTCTCCCGCCTTCCATCACCCCGCTCCATTCTCCCGCTTTCCATCACCCCGCCCAGTTCTCCCTCTTTCCATCACCCCTCCCCATTATCCCTCTTTCCATCACCCCGCCCCCTTCTCCCTCTTTCCATCACCCCGCCCCATTATCCCGCTTTCCATCACCCCGCCCCATTCTCCCTCTTTCCATCACCCCGCCCCATTCTCCCGCTTTCCATCACCCCGCCCCATTCTCCCGCTTTCCATCACCCCGCCCCATTCTTCCGCTTTCCATCACCCCGCCCCATTCTCCCTCTTTCCGTCTCCCCGCCCCATTCTCCCTCTCTCCATCACCCCACCCCATTCTCCCGCTTTCCATCATCCCGCCCCATTCTCCCGCTTTCAATCACCCCGCCCCATTCTTCCGCTTTCCATCACCCCGCCCCATTCTCCCTCTTTCCATCAGCCCGCCCCATTCTCCCTCTTTCCATCACCTCGCCCCATTCTCCCGCTTTCCATCACCCCGCCCCATTCTCCCGCTATTTCATCACCCCGCCCCATTCTCCCTCTTTCCATAACCCCGCCCTATTCTCCCTCTTTCCATCACCCCGCAACATTCTCCCTCTTTTCATCACCCCACCCCATTCTCCCGCTTTCCATCACCCCGCCCCATTCTCCCGCTTTCCATCACCCCTCCCCATTCTCCCTCTTTCCATCACCCCGCCCCATTCTCCCTCTTTCCATCACCCCGCCCCATTCTCCCTCTTTCCATCACCCCGCCCCATTCTCCCTCTTTCCATCACCCCGCCCCATTCTCCCGCTTTCCATCACCCCGCCCCATTCTCCCGCTTTCCATCACCCCGCCCCATTCTTCCGCTTTCCATCACCCCGCCCCATTCTCCCTCTTTCCGTCTCCCCTTCTCCCTCTCTCCATCACCCCGCCCCATTCTCCCGCTTTCCATCATCCCGCCCCATTCTCCCGCTTTCAATCACCCCGCCCCATTCTTCCGCTTTCCATCACCCCGCCCCATTCTCCCTCTTTCCATCAGCCCGCCCCATTCTCCCTCTTTCCATCACACTCGCCCCATTCTCCCGCTTTCCATCACCCCGCCCCATTCTCCCGCTATTTCATCACCCCGCCCCATTCTCCCGCTTTCCATCACCCCGCCCCATTCTCCCTCTTTCCATCACCCCGCCCTATTCTCCCTCTTTCCATCACCCCGCTCCATTCTCCCGCTTTCTATCACCCCGCCCCATTCTCCCGCTTTCCATCACCCCACCCCATTCTCCCGCCTTCCATCACCCCGCTCCATTCTCCCGCTTTCCATCACCCCGCCCAGTTCTCCCTCTTTCCATCACCCCTCCCCATTATCCCTCTTTCCATCACCCCGCCCCCTTCTCCCTCTTTCCATCACCCCGCCCCATTATCCCGCTTTCCATCACCCCGCCCCATTCTCCCTCTTTCCATCACCCCGCCCCATTCTCCCGCTTTCCATCACCCCGCCCCATTCTCCCGCTTTCCATCACCCCGCCCCATTCTTCCGCTTTCCATCACCCCGCCCCATTCTCCCTCTTTCCGTCTCCCCGCCCCATTCTCCCTCTCTCCATCACCCCACCCCATTCTCCCGCTTTCCATCATCCCGCCCCATTCTCCCGCTTTCAATCACCCCGCCCCATTCTTCCGCTTTCCATCACCCCGCCCCATTCTCCCTCTTTCCATCAGCCCGCCCCATTCTCCCTCTTTCCATCACCTCGCCCCATTCTCCCGCTTTCCATCACCCCGCCCCATTCTCCCGCTATTTCATCACCCCGCCCCATTCTCCCTCTTTCCATAACCCCGCCCTATTCTCCCTCTTTCCATCACCCCGCAACATTCTCCCTCTTTTCATCACCCCACCCCATTCTCCCGCTTTCCATCACCCCGCCCCATTCTCCCGCTTTCCATCAACCCGCCTCATTCTCCCGCTTTCCATCACCCCACCCCATTCTCCCGCTTTCCATCACCCCACCCCATTCTCCCGCTTTCCATCACCCCCCCCTATTCTCCCTCTTTCCATCAACCTGCCCCATTCTCCCGCTTTCCATCACCGTCCTATTCTCCTTCTTTCCATCACCCCACCCAATTCTCCCGCTTTCCATCACCCCGCCCCATTCTCCCTCTTTCCATCACCCCGCCCCATTCTCCCGCTTTCCACCACCCCGCTCCATTCTCCCGCTTTCCATCACCCCGCCCATTTCTCCCTCTTTCCATCACCCCTCCCCATTCTCCCTCTTTCCATCACCCCGCCACATTCTCCCGCTTTCCATCACCGCGCCTCATAATCCCTCTTTCCATTACCCCGCCCCATTCTCCCTCTTTCCATCACACCGCCCCATTCTCCCTCTATCCACCACCCCGCCCTATTCTCCCTCTTTCCATCACCCTGCCCCATTCTCCCGCTTTCTATCACCCCGCCCCATTTTCCCGCTTTCCATCACCCCTCCCCATTCTCCCGCTATCGATCACCCCGCCCCATTCTCCCGCTTTCCATCACCCCGCCCCATTCTCCATCTTTCCATCACCCCGCCCTATTCTCCCTCTTTCCATCACCCCGCCCCATTCTCCCACTTTCCATCACCCGACCTGGACATGGACGTGGATGTGGACGTGGACGTGGACGTGGACGTGGACGTAGAAATGGACGTGGACGTGGACGTGGATGTGGACGTAAAAATGGACGTGGACGTGGACGTGGACGTGGACGTGGACGTGGATGTGGACGTGGACATGGACGTGGACGTGGACGTGGATGTGGACGTGAACGTGGACGTGGACGTGGACGTGGACCTGGACGTAGACGTGGACGTGGACGTGGACCTGGACCTGGACGTTGACATGGACGTGGACGTGGACGTGGATGTGGACGTGGACGTGGACGTGGACCTGGACGTGGACGTGGACGTGGACGTGGACCTGGACGTTGACGTGGACGTGGAGGACATGGACGTGAACGTGGACGTGGACATGGACATGGACGTGGACGTGGACGTGGACGAGGACGAGGCAAGGACGTGGACGTGGACGAGGAGGACGTGGACGTGGACGTGGACGTGGACGTGGACGAGGACGAGGACGTGGACGTGGACGTGGACGTGGACGTGGACGTGGACGTGGAGGACATGGACGTGGACGTGGACGTGGACGTGGACGTAGAACTGGACGTGGACGTGGACGTGGACGTGGACGTGGACGTTGACGTGGACGTGGACGTGGACGTGGACGTGGACGTGGACGTGGACGTGGACCTGGACGTTGACGTGGACGTGGACGTGGACGTGGAGGACATGGACGTGGACGTGGACGTGGACGTGGACGTTGACGTGGACGTAGAAATGGACGTAGACGTGGACGTGGACGTGCACGTGGACGTGGAGGTGGACGTGGACATGGAGGACATGGACGTGGACGTGGACGTGGACGTGGACGAGGACGATGACGTGGACGTGGACGTGGACGAGGACGTGGACGTGGACGTGGACGTGGACGTACAAATGGACGTGGACGTGGACGTGGAGGACATGGACGTGGACGTGGACGTGGACGTGGACGAGGACGAGGACGAGTACGTGGACGTGGACGTGGACATGGACATGGACATGGACGTGGACGTGGACATGGACGTGGACGTGGACGTGGACGTGGACGTGGACGTGGACATGGACGTGGACGTGGACGTGGACGTGGACTTGGACTTGGACTTGGACGTGGACGTGGAGGTCGACGTGGATGTCGACGTCGAAGTCGACGTGGACGGACGTAGACGTGGACGTGGACATGGACATGGACGTGGACGTGGACGTGGACATAGAAATGGACGTGGACGTGGACGTGGACGTCGGCGTGCACGTGCTCGTGGACATGGACGTGGACGTGGACGTGGACGTGGTCATGGACGTGGACGTGGACATGGACGTGGACGTGGTCGTGGACGTGGACGTGGACGTGGAGGACGTGGACGTGGAGGACATCGACGTGGATGTGGAGGACGTGGACGTGGACGTGGAGGACGAGGACGTGGACGTGGACGTGGACGTGGACATGGATGTGGACGTGGACATGGACGTGGACGTGGACATGGACGTGGAGGACATGGACGTTGACGTGGACGTGGACGTGGACGTTGACGTGGACGTGGAACTGGACGTAGATGTGGACGTAGAACTGGACGTGGACGTGGACGTGGACGTGGACGTGGAGGACATGGACGTGGACGTGGACATGGACATGGACGTGGATGTGGACGTGGACGTGGACGTGGACGTGGACGTGGACATGGACGTGGACGTGGACGTGGACGTGGACTTGGACTTGGACGTGGACGTGGAGGTCGACGTGGATGTCGACGTCGACGTCGACGTGGACGGACGTAGACGTGGACGTGGACGTGGACGTGGACATGGACATGGACGTGGACGTAGACGTGGACGTAGAAATGGACGTGGACGTGGACGTGGACGTCGGCGTGCATGTGCTCGTGGACATGGACGTGGACGTGGACGTGGACGTGGACGTGAACGTGGACGTGGACGTGGACGTGGACGTGGACGTGGTCATGGACGTGGACGTGGACATGGACGTGGACGTGGTCGTGGACGTGGACGTGGACGTGGAGGACGTGGACGTGGAGGACGTCGACGTAGACGTGGAGGACGTGGACGTGGACGTGGAGGACGAGGACGTGGACGTGGACGTGGACGTGGACGTGGACATGGACGTGGACGTGGACGTGGACATGGACGTGGACGTGGACATGGACGTGGAGGACATGGACGTGGACGTGGACGTGGACGTGGACGTAGATGTGGACGTAGAACTGGACGTGGACGTGGACGTGGACGTGGACGTGGACGTGGAGGACATGGACGTGGACGAGGACGTGGACGTGGACGTGGACATGGACATGGACGTGGACTGTGGACGTGGACGTGGACGTGGATGTGGACGTGGACGTGGACGTGGACGTGGACATGGACGTGGACGTGGACGTGGACTTGGACTTGGACTTGGACGTGGACGTGGAGGTCGACGTGGATGTCGACGTCGACGTCGACGTGGACGGACGTAGACGTGGACGTGGACGTGGACATGGACATGGTCGTGGACGTGGACGTAGAAATGGACGTGGACGTGGACGTGGACGTTGGCGTGCACGTGCTCGTGGACATGGACGTGGACGTGGACGTGGACATGGACGTGGACGTGGACGTGAACGTGGACGTGGACGTGGACGTGGACGTGGTCCTGGACGTGGACGTGGACATGGACGTGGACGTGGTCATGGACGTGGACGTGGACGTGGAGGACGTGGACGTGGAGGACGTGGACGTGGTCGTGGACGTGGACATGGACGTGGACGTGGACGTGGAGGACGTCGACGTGGACGTGGAGGACGTGGACGTGGACGTGGAGGACGAGGACGTGGACGTGGACGTGGACATGGACATGGACGTGGACGTGGACGTGGACATGGACGTGGACGTGGACATGGACATGGAGGACATGGACGTGGACGTGGACGTGGACGTGGACGTGGACGTAGACGTGGACGTAGAACTGGACGTGGACGTGGACGTGGACATGGACGTGGACGTGGACGTGGACGTGGACGTGGACGTGGAGGACATGGACGTGGACGTGGACGTGGACGTGGACGTAGAACTGGACGTGGACGTGGACGTGGACGTGGACGTGGACGTGGACCTGGACCTGGACGTTGACGTGGACGTGGACGTGGACGTGGACGTGGACCTGGACGTGGACGTGGACGTGGACCTGGACGTTGACGTTGACGTGGAGGACATGGACGTGGACGTGGACGTGGACCTGGACGTGGACGTGGACGTGGACGTGGACATGGATGTAGACGTGGACGTGGAGGTGGACGTGGACGTGGACGAGGACGAGGACGTGGACGAGGAGGACATGGACGTGGACGTGGACGTGGACGTGGACGTGGACGAGGACGAGGACGTGGACATGGACGTGGACGTGGACGTGGACGTGGACGTGGACTAGACGTGGACGTGGACGTGGACGTAGAAATGGACGTGAACGTAGACGTGGACCTGGACGTGGACGTGAAGGTGGACGTGGACCTGGACGTGGAAGTGGACCTGGACATGGACATGGACGTGGACGTGAAGGTGGACGTGGACCTGGACATGGACGTGGACGTAGACGTGGACGTGGACGTGGACGTGGACGTGGAGGTGGAAGTGGACGTGGACGTGGACGTGGAAGTGGACGTGGACGTGGACGTGGAGGTGGACGTGGACGTGGACGTGGAGGTGGACGTGGACGTGGACGTGAAGGTGGACGTGGACCTGGACATGGACGTGGACGTAGACGTGGACGTGGACGTGGACGTGGACGTGGACGTGGAGGTGGAAGTGGACGTGGACGTGGACGTGGAAGTCGACGTGGACGTGGACGTGGAGGTGGACGTGGACGTGGACGTGGAGGTGGACGTGGACGTGGAGGTGGACGTGGAGGTGGACGTGGACGTGGAGGTGGACGTGGACGTGGACGTGGAGGTGGACGTGGACGTGGACGTGGACGTGGAGGTGGACGTGGACGTGAAGGTGGACGTGGACCTGGACGTGGAAGTGGACGTGGACGTGGACGTGGACCTGGACCTGGACATGGACGTGGACGTGGACGTGGACGTGGACGTAGAAATGGACGTGGACGTGGACGTGGACGTGGACGTGGACGTAAAAATGGACGTGGACGTGGACATGGACGTGGACGTGGACGTGGACGTGGACGTGGACATGGACGTGGACGTGGACGTGGACGTGGACGTGGACGTGAACGTGGACGTGGACCTGAACGTCGACGTGGACGTGGACGTGGACCTGGACCTCGACGTTTACGTGGACGTGGACGTGGACGTGGATGTGGACGTGGACGTGGACGTGGACCTGGACGTGGACGTGGACGTGGACGTGGACCTGGACGTTGACGTGGACGTGGAGGACATGGACGTGGACGTGGACGTGGACGTGGACCTGGACGTGGACGTGGACGTGGACGTGGAGGTGGACGTGGACGGGACGTGAAGGTGGACGTGGACCTGGACGTGGACGTGGACGTGGAAGTGGACGTGGACGTGGACGTGGACCTGGACCTGGACATGGACGTGGACGTGTACGTGGACGTGGACGTGGACGTAGAAATGGACGTGGACGTGGACGTGGATGTAAAAATGGACGTGGACGTGGACGTGGACGTGGACGTGGACGTGGACGTGGACCTGGACGTTGACGTGGACGTGGACGTGGAGGTGGACGTGGAGGACATGGACGTGGACGTGGACGTGGACGTTGACGTGGACATAGAAATGGACGTAGACGTGGACGTGGACGTGCACGTGGACGTGGAGGTGGACGTGGACATGGAGGACATGGACGTGGACGTGGACGTGGAAGTGGACGTGGACGAGGACGAGGACGTGGACGTGGACGTGGACGTGGACGTGGTCGTGGACGTGGACGTGGACGTGGTCGTGGACGTGGACGTGGAGGACGTCGACGTGGACGTGGAGGACGTGGACGTGGACGTGGAGGACGAGGACGTGGACGTGGACGTGGACGTGGACATGGACGTGGACGTGGACGTGGACATGGACGTGGACGTGGACATGGACGTGGAGGACATGGACGTGGACGTGGACGTGGACGTGGACGTAGACGTGGACGTAGAACTGGACGTGGACGTGGACGTGGACGTGGACGTGGACGTAGAACTGGACGTGGACGTGGACGTGGACGTAGACCTGGACCTGGACGTTGACGTGGACGTGGACGTGGACGTGGACCTGGACGTGGACGTGGACGTGGACCTGGACGTTGACGTTGACGTGGAGGACATGGACGTGGACGTGGACGTGGACCTGGACGTGGACGTGGACGTGGACGTGGACATGGACGTGGACGTGGACGTGGATGTGGACGTGGACGTGGACGAGGACGAGGACGTGGACGAGGAGGACATGGACGTGGACGTGGAGGTGGACGTGGACGTGGACGAGGACGTAGAAATGGACGTGGACATAGACGTGGACCTGGACGTGGACGTGAAGGTGGACGTGGACCTGGACGTGGAAGTGGACCTGGACATGGACATGGACGTGGACGTGAAGGTGGACGTGAAGGTGGACGTGGACCTGGACGTGGAAGTGGACCTGGACATGGACATGGACGTGGACGTGAAGGTGGACGTGGACCTGGACATGGACGTGGACGTAGACGTGGACGTGGACGTGGACGTGGACGTGGACGTGGAGGTGGAAGTGGACGTGGACGTGGACGTGGAAGTGGACGTGGACGTGGACGTGGACGTGGAGGTGGACGTGGACGTGGACGTGGAGGTGGACGTGGACGTGGACGTGAAGGTGGACGTGGACCTGGACATGGACGTGGACGTAGACGTGGACGTGGACGTGGACGTGGACGTGGAGGTGGAAGTGGACGTGGACGTGGACGTGGAAGTCGACGTGGACGTGGACGTGGAGGTGGACGTGGACGTGGACGTGGAGGTGGACGTGGACGTGGACGTGAAGGTGGACGTGGACCTGGACGTGGAAGTGGACGTGGACGTGGACGTGGACCTAGACCTGGACATGGACGTGGACGTGGACGTGGACGTGGACGTGGACGTAGAAATGGACGTGGACGTGGACGTGGACGTGGACATAAAAATGGACGTGGACGTGGACATGGACGTGGACGTGGACGTGGACGTGGACATGGACGTGGACGTGGACGTGGACGTGGACGTGAACGTGGACGTGGACGTGGACCTGGACGTAGACGTGGACGTGGACGTGGACCTGGACCTGGACGTTGACGTGGACGTGGACGTGGATGTGGACGTGGACGTGGACCTGGACGTGGACGTGGACGTGGACGTGGACCTGGACGTTGACGTGGACGTCGAGGACATGGACGTGGACGTGGACGTGGACCTGGACGTGGACGTGGACGTGGACGTGGACGTGGAGGTGGACGTGGACGGGACGTGAAGGTGGACGTGGACCTGGACGTGGACGTGGACGAGGAAGTGGACGTGGACGTGGACGTGGACCTGGACCTGGACATGGACGTGGACGTGGACGTGGACGTGGACGTAGAAATGGACGTGGACGTGGACGTGGATGTAAAAATGGACGTGGACGTGGACGTGGACGTGGACATGGACGTGGACGTGGACGTGGACGTGGACGTGGACGTGGACCTGGACGTTGACGTGGACGTGGACGTGGAGGTGGACGTGGAGGACATGGACGTGGACGTGGACGTGGACGTGGACGTTGACGTGGACGTAGAAATGGACGTTGACGTGGACGTGGACGTGCACGTGGACGTGGAGGTGGACGGGGACATGGAGGACATGGACGTGGACGTGGACGTGGAAGTGGACGTGGACGAGGACGAGGACGTGGACGAGGACGTGGACGTGGACGTGGACGTGGACGTGGACGTAGAAATGGACGTGGACGTGGACGTGGAGGACATGGACGTGGACGTGGACGTGGACGTGGACGAGGACGAGGACGTGGACGTGGACGTGGACGTGGACATGGACATGGACGTGGACGTGGACGTGGACTTGGACGTGGACATGGACGTGGACGTGGACGTGGACGTGGACGTGGACGTGGACATGGACGTGGACGTGGACGTGGACGTGGACGTGGACGTGGACGTGGACTTGGACTTGGACTTGGACGTGGACGTGGATGTCGACGTGGATGTCGACGTCGACGTCGACGTGGACGGACGTAGACGTGGACGTGGACGTGGACATGGACATGGACGTGGACGTGGACGTGGACGTAGAAATGGACGTGGACGTGGATGTGGACGTCGGCGTGCACGTGCTCGTGGACATGGACGTGGACGTGGACGTCGACGTGGACGTGGACGTGGACGTGGACGTGAACGTGGACGTGGACATGGACGTGGACATGGTCATGGACGTGGACGTGGACATGGACGTGGACGTGGTCGTGGACATGGACGTGGACGTGGAGGACGTGGACGTGGAGGACGTCGACGTGGACGTGGAGGATGTGGACGTGGACGTGGAGGACGAGGACGTGGACGTGGACGTGGACGTGGACGTGGACGTGGACGTGGATGTGGACGTGGACGTGGACATGGACGTGGAGGTGGACGTGGACGTGGAGGACATGGACGTGGACGTGGACGTGGACGTGGACGTGGACGTGGATGTAGAACTGGACGTGGACGTGGACGTGGACGTGGACATGGACGTGGACGTGGAGGACATGGACGTGGACGTGGTTGTGGACGTGGACGTAGAACTGGACGTGGACGTGGACGTGGACGTGGACGTGGACGTGGACGTGGACGTGGACCTGGACGTTGACGTGCGCGTGGACGTGGACGTAGACGTGGAGGACGTGGACGTGGACGTGGACGCGGACGAGGACGTGGACGCGGACGAGGACGCGGACGGGGACGCGGACGTGGACGTGGACGTGGACCTGGACGTTGACGTGCGCGTAGACGTGGACGTGGACGCGGATGAGGACGTGGACGCGGACGTGGACGTGGACGTGGACCTGGACGGGGACGGGGACGGGGACGGGGGCGTGGACGTGGACGTGGACGTGGATGTGGACGTGGACGTGGACGTGGTCGTGGACGTGGACGTGGACGTGGACGTGGACGTGGAAATGGACGTGGACGTGGACATGGACGTGGTCGTGGACGTGGACGTGGTCGTGGACGTGGACGTGGACGTGGACGTGGACGTGGACGTGGAGGTGGACGTGGACGTGGACGTGGACGTGGAGGACGTGGACGTGGAGGTGGACGTGGACGTGGACGTGGAGAACGTGGACGTGGACGTGGATGTGGAGGACGTGGACGTGGACGTGGACGTGGACGTGGACGTGGAGGTGGACGTGGACGTGGACGTGGACGTGGAGGACATGGACGTGGAGGTGGACGTGGAGGACATGGACGTGGACGTGGACGTGGACGTGGACGTGGACGTGGAAATGGACGTGGACGTGGACGTGGACGTGGACGTGGACGTGGACGTGGACTAGACGTGGACGTGGACGTGGACGTGGACGAGGACGAGGACATGGACGTGGACGTAGAAATGGAGGTGGACGTGGACGTAGAAATGGAGGTGGACCTGGACGTGGACCTGGACGGTGGACGTGGACGTGGACGTGGACGTAGAAATGGAGGTGGACCTGGACGTGGACCTGGACGTTGACGTCGACGTGGACATGGACGTGGAGGACGTGGACGTGGACGTGGACGTGGAGGACATGGACGTGGACGTGGACGTGGACGTGGACGTGGACGTGGACGTGGAAATGGACGTGGACGTGGACGTGGACGTGGACGTGGACTAGACGTGGACGTGGACGTGGACGTGGACGTGGACGTGGACGTGGAGGTGGACGTGGACGTGGACGTGGACGTGGACGTGGACGAGGAGGAGGACGTGGACGTGGACGTGGACGTGGACGTGGACGTAGAAATGGAGGTGGACGTGGACGTAGACCTGGACGTTGACGTGGACATGGACCTGGACGTTGACGTGCGCGTGGATGTGGACGTGGACGTGGAGGACGTGGACGTGGACGTGGACGTGGACGTGAACGTGGACGTGGACGAGGACGAGGACGTGGACGTGGACGTGGACGTGGACGTGGTCGTGGACGTGGTCGTGGACGTGGACGTGGACGTGGACGTGGACCTGGACCTGGACGTGGACGTGGACGTGGACGTGGACGTGGAGGACATGGACGTGGACGTGGACGTCGAGGACATGGACGTGGACGTGGACGTGGACGTTGACGTGGACGTGGACGTGGACGTGGACGTGGTCGTGGACGTGGACGTGGACGTGGACGTGGAAATGGACGTGGACGTGGACATGGACGTGGTCGTGGACGTGGTCGTGGACGTGGACGTGGACGTGGACGTGGACGTGGACGTGGACGTGGAGGTGGACATGGACGTGGACATGGACGTGGACGTGGAGGACGTGGACGTGGAGGTGGACGTGGACGTGGACGTGGACGTGGACGTGAAGGACGTGGACGTGGACGTGGACGTGGAGGACGTGGACGTGGACGTGGACGTGGACGTGGACGTGGACGTGGAGGTGGACGTGGACGTGGACGTGGAGGTGGACGTGGAGGACATGGACGTGGAGGTGGACGTGGAGGACATGGACGTGGACGTGGACGTGGACGTGGACGTGGACGTGGAAATGGACGTGGACGTGGACGTGGACGTGGACGTGGACGTGGACTAGACGTGGACGTGGACGTGGACGTGGACGTGGACGTAGACGTGGACGTGGACGAGGACGAGGACGTGGACGTGGACGTGGACGTAGAAATGGAGGTGGACGTGGATGTAGAAATGGAGGTGGACCTGGACGTGGACCTGGACGGTGGACGTGGACGTGGACGTGGACGTAGAAATGGAGGTGGACCTGGACGTGGACCTGGACGTTGACGTGGACGTGGACGTGGACGTGGAGGACGTGGACGTGGACGTGGACGTGGAGGACATGGACGTGGACGTGGACGTGGACGTGGACGTGGACGTGGAAATGGACGTGGACGTGGACGTGGACGTGGACGTGGACGTGGACTAGACGTGGACGTGGACGTGGACGTGGACGTGGACGTGGAGGTGGACGTGGACGTGGACGTGGACGTGGACGAGGAGGAGGACGTGGACGTGGACGTGGACGTGGACGTGGACGTGGACGTAGAAATGGAGGTGGACGTGGACGTAGACCTGGACGTTGACGTGGACATGGACCTGGACGTTGACGTGCGCGTGGACGTGGACGTGGACGTGGAGGACGTGGACGTGGACGTGGACTGTGGATGTGGACGTGGACGTGGACGTGGACGAGGACGAGGACGTGGACGTGGACGTGGACGTGGACGTGGACGTGGTCGTGGACGTGGTCGTGGACGTGGACGTGGACGTGGACCTGGACCTGGACGTGGACGTGGACGTGGACGTGGACGTGGAGGACATGGACGTGGACGTGGACGTCGAGGACATGGACGTGGACGTGGACGTTGACGTGGACGTGGACGTGGACGTGGACGTGGACGAGGACGAGGACGAGGACGTGGACATGGACGTGGACGTGGACGTGGACATGGACGTGGACGTGGACGTGGACGTGGACATGGTCGTGGACGTGGACGTGGACATGGACGTGGACGTGGACATGGACGTGGAGGTGGACGTGGAGGTGGACGTGGACATGGTCATGGACGTGGACGTGGACGTGGACGTGGACGTGGACGTGGACGTGGACATGGACGTGGACGTGGACGTGGACGTGGACATGGACGTGGACGTGGACATGGACGTGGACATGGACATGGTCGTGGACATGGACATGGTCGTGGACGTGGACGTGGACATGGACATGGTCGTGGACATGGACATGGACGTGGACATGGACATGGTCGTGGACATGGACATGGTCGTGGACGTGGACGTGGACATGGACATGGTCGTGGACATGGACATGGTCGTGGACATGGACATGGACGTGGACATGGACGTGGACATGGACATGGTCGTGGACGTGGACGTGGACGTGGACATGGACGTTGACGTGGACATGGACGTGGTCATGGACGTGGACGTGGACGTGGACATAGACGTGGACGTGGACGTGGACATAGATGTGGACGTGGACATAGATGTGGTCGTGGTCGTGGACGTGGACGTGGACGTGGTCATGGACGTAGATGTGGACGTGGACGTGGAGGACGTGGACGTGGACGACGTGGAGGACATGGACGTGGAGGACGTGGACGTGGACGTGGAGGACGTGGACGTGGACGTGGACGTAGACGTGGTCGTGGACGTGGACGTTGACGTGGACGTGGACGTGGTCGTGGACGTGGAGGACTTGGACGTTGACATGGACGTGGACGTGGACGTGGACGTGGACATGGTCGTGGACGTGGACGTGGAAGTGGACGTGGACGTGGACATGGACGTGGATGTGGACGTGGACGTGGAAGTGGACGTGGACGTGGACATGGATGTGGACGTGGACGTGGACGTGGACGTGGACGTCGTCTTGGAGCTTGCGTGGTCGAGGAGCGTGCCTGGTCCATGGGCTTGCGTGATCCAGGAGCTTGCCTGGTCCAGGAGCTTGCTTGGTCCAGAAGCTTGCCTGGTCCAGGAGCTTGCCTTGTCTAGGAGCTTGCTTGGTCCAGGAGCTTGCCTCGTCCAAGAGCTTGCGTGGTCGAGGAGCTTACCTGGTCTAGGAGCTTGCCTCGTCGAAGAGCTTGCCTTATCAAGGAGCTTGCCTGGTCCAAGAGCTTTCCTGGTCCAGGAGCGTGCCTGATCTAGGAGCTTGCTTGGACAAGGAGCTTGCCTGATCCAAAATCTTGCCTTGTCCAAGAGCTTGCCTGGTCCAGGAGCTTGCTTGGTCCAAGAGCTTGCTCGGTCCAAGCTTGCCTTGTCCAGGAGCATGCCTAGTCTAAGAGCTTGCCTGGTCGAGGAGGTTGCCTCGTCAAGGAGCTTGCCTGGTCCAGGAGCTGGCCTGGTCCAAAAGCGTGCCTGAAGCTAAAATGCGCCTAGGTCCATGAGCTTGCCTGGTCCAGGAGCTTGCCTGGTCTAGGAGCCTGCCTGGTCCAGGAGCTTGCCTGGTCCAGGAGCGTGCCTGGTCCAGGTGCTTGCCTGGTCCACGAGCTAGCCTCGTCCTAGAGCTTGTCTGGTCCAGGAGCGTCCTTGGTCGAGGAGCTTGCCTGGTCCAGGAGCTTGCTTGGTCCAAGAGCTTGCCTGGTCCTGGAGCTTCACTGGTCCAAGAGCTTGCCAGGTGCAAGAGCTTGTCAGGTCCAGGTGCATGCCGGGTCCAAGAGCTTGCCTGGTCCAGGAGCTTGCCTCATCAAGGAGCTTGCCTGGTCCAGGAGCTGGCCTGGTCCTGGAGCGTGCCTGGTCTTGGAATGTTTCTTGTCTAGGAGCTTGCCTTGTCCACGAGCTTGCCTGGTCCAAGAGCTTGCCTGGTCCAAGAGCTTGCCTGGTCCAAGAGCTTGCCTAGTCCACAAGCTTGCCTGGTCCAAGAGCTTGCCTCGTCAAGGAGCTTGCCTGGTTCAGGAGCTGGCCTCGTCTAGGAGCGTGCCTGGTCGTGGAATGTGTCTGGTCCAGGAGAGTGCCTAGTCCATAAGCTTGCCTCGTCTAGGAGCTTGCCTAGTCCAGGAGCTTGCCTGGTCCTGGAGCTTGCCTGATCCTGGAGCTTGCCTGGTCCAAGGCAAGCTAACGGACCAAGAAAGCTCCAGGACCGGGCAGGCTCCTGGACCAGGCACGCTCCTGGAACAGGCAAGCTCCTGGACCAGGCAAAGCTCCTGGACCAGGCAAGCTCTTGGACCAGGCAAGCTCCTGGACTAGGCAAGCTCCTGGACCAGGCACGCTCCTGGACCCGGCAAGCTCCTAGACCGGGCAAGCTCTTGGACCAGGCAAGCTCCTGGTCCAGGCAAACTCGTGGACCTGGCACGCTCCTGGACCAGGCAAGATCTTGGACGAGGCGAGCTCCTGGACCAGGCAAGCTCCTAGACCAGGCAAGCTCTTGGACCACGAACGCTCCTGGACCTGGCAAGCTCCTAGACCAGGCAAGATCTTGGACGAGGCAAGCTCCTAGACCAGGCAAGCTCCTGGATCAGGCAAGCTCCTTGACCAGGCACGCTCCTGGACCAGGCAAGCTCCTAGACCAGGCAAGGTCCTGGACCAGGCAAGCTCCTAGACCAGGCAAGCTCGTGGACCAGCCATGCTCGTGGACCAGCCAAGCTCTTGGACAGGGCATGCTCCTAAACCACGAAAGCTCTTGGACCAGGCAAGCTCTTGGACCAGGCAAGCTCCTGGACCAGCCAAGCTCCCGGACCATGCAAGCTCGTGGACCAGGCACGGTCCTAGACCAGGCAAGATCCTAGACCAGGCAAGCTCCTGGACCAGGCAAGCTCGTGGACCGGGCAAGCTCGTGGACCAGGCAAGCTCCTTGACCAGGCAAGCTCCTAGACCAGGCACGCTCCTGGACCAGGCAAGCTCCTAGACCACGCAAGCTCCTGGACCACGCAAGCTCTTGGACCAGGCACGCTCTTGGACCAGGCAAGCTCTTGGACCAGGTAGGCTTCATGACTGGGCAAGCTGCTGGACAAGGCAAGCTCCTCGACCAGGCAAGATCCTGGTCCAGCCAAGCTCATGGACCACGCAAGCTCCTGGACCAGGAACGCTCGTTGACCAGGCACGCTCTTGGACCAGGCAAGCTCCTAGACCAGGCAAGGTCCTGGACCAGGCAAACTCCTGGACCAGGCAAGCTCATGGACCGGGCACGCTCCTGGACCAGGCAAGCTCCTGGACCAGGCAAGCTCCTAAACCACGCAAGCTCTTAGACCGGGCAAGCTCGTGGAACACGCAAGCTCGTGGACCAGGCAGGCTCCTGGACCAGGCAAGCTCCTTAGACCAGGCAAGCTCCTTGACCAGGCAAGCTCGTGGACCAGGCACGCTTTTGGACCAGGCAGGCTTCTGGACCAAGCAAGCTCCTGGACCACGCAAGCTCCTGGACCAGGCAAGCTCGTGGACCAGGCAGGCTCCTGGACCAGGCAAGCTCCTGGACCAAGCAAGCTCCTGGACCAGGCACACTCGTGGACCAGGCACACTCCTGGACCAGGCAAGCTCTTGGACCAGGCAAGCTCTTGGACCACGCAAGCTCCTGGACAAGGCACGCTCGTGGACCAGGCATGCTCCTAGCCTAGGCACGCTCCTGGAACAGGCAACCTCATGGACCAAGCACGCTCCTTGACCAGGCAAGCTCCTAGACAAGGCAAGCTCCTAGACCATGCAAGCTCTTGGACCAGGCACGCTCCTGGACCAGGCAAGCTCTTGGACCAGGCACACTTCTGGACCAAGCAAGCTCCTGGACCAGGCAAGCTCCTGGACGACGCAAGCTCTTGGACCACGCAGGCATCTAGACCAAGCAAGCTCCTGGACCTGGCAAGCTCCTGGACCACGCAAGCTTCTGGACAAGGCAAGCTCCCGGACCAGGCAATATCTTGGACCAGGCAAACTCCCGGTCCAAGGAAGCTCCTGGACCAAGCAAGCTCGTGGACCGAGCACGCTCTTGGACCAGGAAAGTTCCTAGACGAGGCAAGCTCCTGGACCAGGCAAGCTCCTGGACCTTGCAAGCTCCTGGACTTGGCAAGCTCCTGTACCAGGCACGCTCCTGGACTAGGCAAGCTCCTAGACTAGGCAAGCTCCTCGACCACGCAAGCTCTTGGACCAGACAAGCTCCTGGACCGGGCAAGCTCCTGGACCAGTCAAGCTAACGGACCATGAAAGCTCCTGGACAAGGCAAGCTCGTGGAGCTTGGTCTAGGAGTTTGCCTGGTCCAGCAGCTTGCCTGGTCTAGGAGCTTGCCTGGTCCAGGAGCTTGCCTGGTCCAGGAGCGTTCCTAGTCCACGAGTTTGCCTGGTCCAGAAGCTTGCGTGGTCCAGGAGCTTGCTTGTTCCACGAGCGTGCCTGGTCCAGGAGCTTGCCTTGTCCAGGAGCTTTCTTGGTCCGTTAGCTTGCCTGGTCCAGGAGCTTGCCTGGTCTAGGAGCTTTCCTGGTCCAAGAGCTTGCCTGGTCCAAGAGCTTGCCTGGTCCAGCAGCTTGCCTGGTCCAAGAGCGTGCGTGATCCACCAGCTTGCCTGGTCCAAGAGCTTGCCTGGTCCAGGAGCGTGCCTGGTCCAAGAGCTTGCCTGGTCCAGGAGCTTTCATTTTCCAAGAGCTTGCCTGGTCCAAGAGCTTGCTTGGTCCAGAAGCCTGCCTGGTCCAAGAGCTTGCCTAGTCCAGGAGCGTGTCTGGGTTAAGAGCTTGCCTGGTCCAAGAGCTTGCGTGGTCAAGGAGCTTGCCTGGTCCAGGAGCTTGCCTGGTCCAGGAGCTTGCCTTGTCCAAGAGCTTGCCTGGTCCAAGAGCTTGCGTGGTCTAGGAGCTTGCCTGGTCCAGGAGCTTGCCTAGTCTAGGAGCTTGCCTGGTCTAGGAGCTTGCCTGGTCCAAGAGCGTGCCTGGTCCGGAAGCTTGCCTGGTCCAGGAGCTTGCCTGGTCTAGGAGCTTGCATGGTCCAGGAGCGTGCCTGGTCCAGGAGCTTGCCTGGTCCAGGATCTTGCCTGGTCCAGGAGCTATCCTAGTCTAGGAGCTTGCCTGGTCAAGGAGCTTGCCTAGTCCAGGAGCTTGCCTTCTGTTCCAAGAGCTTGCTTGGTCCAGAAGCCTACCTGGTCCAAGAGCTTGCCTGGTACAGGAGTGTGCCTGGTCCAAGAGCTTGCGTGGTCCAGGAGCTTGCGTGGTTCAGGAGCTTGCCTGGTCAAGGAGCTTGCCTGGTCCAGGAGCTTGCCTCGTCCTAGAGCTTGCCTGGTCCAGAAGCCTGCCTGGTCCAGGAGCTTGCCTAGTCCAGCAGCTTGCCTGGTCTAGGAGCTTGCCTTGTCTAGGAGCTTGCTTCGTCCAAGCGCGTTCCTGGTCCACGAGTTTGCTTGGTCCAGAAGCTTGCCTGGTCCAGGAGCTTGCCTGTTCCACGAGCGTGCCTGGTCCAGGAGCTTGCCTTATCCACGAGCTTTCATGGTCCATTAGCTTGCCTGGTCCAGGAGCTTGCCTGGTCCTGGAGCTTGCCTGGTCCAAGAGCTTGCGTGGTCCAGGAGCTTGCGTGGTCCAGGAGCTTGCCTGGTCAAGGAGCTGGCGTGGTCCAGGAGCTTGCCTGGTCAAGGAGCTTGCCTGGTCCAGGAGCTTGCCTGGTCCAGGAGCTTGCCTGGTCCAAGAGCTTGCCTGGTCCAGGAGCTTGCCTGGTCCAGGAGCTTGCCTAGTCCAGCAGCTTGCCTGGTCTAGGAGCTTGCCTAGTCTAGGAGCTTGCCTGGTCCAGGAGCGTTCCTGGTCCAAGAGCTTGCTTGGTCCAGGAGCTATCCTGGTCCAGGAGCTTGCCTGGTCCAGGAGATTGCCTGGTCCAAGAGCTTGCCTGTTCCAGGAGCGTGCCTGGTCTAAGAGCTTGCCTGGTCCAAGAGCGTGCATGGTCCACGAGCGTGCCTAGTCCAAGAGCTTGCTTGGTCTAGGAGCTTGCCTGGTCAAGGAGCTTGCCTGGTCCAGGAGCCTGCCTGGTCCAAGAGCTTGCCTCGTCTGGGAGCGTGCACGGTCCACGAGCGTGCCTGGTCCAGGAGTTTGCCTGGTCCAGGAGCTTGCGTGGTCCAATAGCTTGCTTGGTCCAGAAGCCTGCCTGGTCCAAGAGCTTGCCTGGTCCAAGAGAGTGCCACGTCCAAGAGCTTGCGTGATTCAGGAGCTTGCGTGGTCGAGGAGCTTGCCTGGTCCAGGAGCTTCCCTGGTCCAGGAGCTTGCCTGGTCCAAGAGCTTGCCTGGTCCAAGA